GAGCTGACAAAATGAAGGTTCTCTCCGACGTTATCGAGGACGAAACGGATCTCTCTCTCAGGCGTAAAGCAACTCTGCTATTAACGGAGGTTCTGAAGCTCGCTCATCATTCCTTACCCCAAGCCGTCAGCGCAAAACTTCAAGTGCTTCCACACCTAATACCATCTGCAGTCGACTTTGAAACTGAGAATCACGACCTTTCAACTGCAACTATCTTCCAAATCGATAGTATCAATCGGACATTGGCGCGTTCCGTTGGATATCCCAGTGGACAGGGTCGATATAACATGGAGACTGATTTATCGGTTTCTCTGCTTCCTGTTGAGCAAGGGAAAGACAAGATGAGTCCTTCCATGGACGAGACCCAGTTCCGCAATGCCATCCTAGAGACTCATGTCCTGAACACCGTCAACTTCAATAAGTGGAAATGGGACATCATCCACCGCCTAGTGGAGGGTCCCCTCACAAATCCAAAAAGAATGGACGAGGCAATCAAAGGCTCCAAATTCATGAAACGTCTCATTGGGTTTTACCGGCCTTTCAAGTATCGCTTCTCCATGGTTCCAAACACAAAGGCAAATCAGCGGTATGTCCGAACCGGTTGTGTCCTCATGCGCACTCTTGTTACGACACCCGAGGGTACCAAATATTTGGCCGAGAACAAATTCCTTCGCCAGGTTGCAGAATGTCTGGCCCAGCTGGACCGCATGAGTGGGCTAACGTCTGCGTCCCCGCTCTTCTCCAAGGATCAAATGGCCAATACTCTAAGTGGAGGCTACTTTGCTATGCTAGGATCATTGAGTGGCGACGTCAACGGGCTGCTCATGATGGAACGATGGCATATGCTTAACATGTTTTACCACATCATTGAGCTGCGAGATCGGAATGATCTCATTCAGACTTTGTTAGGAAACATGGATTACAGCCGCGAAAGTCATCTCCGGGTCATGCTTTCCAAGGCCCTGACAATTGGCTCCAAGGAAATCCGGATCTTTGCAACCAGACTCCTACGCAAATATGCCGTTGGGGATGTAGCACTTTCGCCTCACGTGGCGATTGGCAATGCGGAATGGGTGGTCAAGCTTCTTGTCACCCAATTGTACGATCCCGAGGTCACGGTCTGCCAGGTTGCTGTGAAAATCCTGGAAGAGGCATGCAATCAACGAGATTATCTCGAGTTCGTGGTCAAATGTCGACCCTCCCTAGATCATCTGGGTGAAATCGGTGCACCACTACTTCTCCGATTCTTGTCGACTTCCGTGGGATACCACTATCTGGATGGTCTTGATTATATCACCCAAGAGATGGATGACTGGTTCCTTGGCCGGAACGATAGCTATGTCGGTCTTGTTGAGGCTGCTCTTTCCCGAGCTTACGTTGAGCAACCGCGACGTGGCAGCCTTGTCCCCGAGGATCTGGTGGACCTCCAGGATATTGGGTTGGTACCACCGCATTTCTACCGAGAACTTGCACGAACAGCCGAGGGGTGTAAGCTGCTGGAGCAGTCGGGTCATTTCAATGAATTCGCTTGGACGATTCGTGATTTCAAGCTGGACGAAGAAGACAACGAAATGCTTCTCAAAGCTAAAGGATGTCTCTGGGCTGTCGGTAATATCGGCTCAATGGAGCTTGGTGCACCATTCTTAGATGCTGAGATTATCCAACGGATCGTGGAGATAGCAACAAGTGCAGGAGTACTCACTATGCGGGGCACTGCTTTCTTCGTTTTGGGCTTGATTTCTCGCAGTCGACACGGACTCCAAGTTTTGCAGAGTTTGGGCTGGGATTCCGGTGTTGACCAAAAGGGAGATTCACTCGGACTTTGTCTCCCTACCGATTTCCGAAAGTTGTTCTTGGTGAGTAACTTACGTCCCTTCGCCTTCGTCTAATTATGCTCATCCATCTAGATTTCCTTCCCTGGCTTTGATTTTAGATCGAAGCGAACTCCCAAGGAGAAACTCAAGGAAGCCACCACGGACTCCGATCCTGGCAACCAACGGATCTTGAAGTTGATCGTCGATATGGGCAACACGGTACTCTCCAAACGAGCCGCTTCTGATCTTCACATGTAAGGCTCGCAGTTTTCCTTCTGTGACATCTCACATTTGCTCACAATTCTCACAGCCTAAAAACCAAACAACCCGAGCGATTCCACCAAGCCCATCTCTTCCGCAAGACCCTATGCATCCTGGAGAGTCATCATTACAGACTTCCATCTCGACGTTTCGCCCTGGACTTATTTGACAAGTGTGTCATGCGACGAATTGTCCTCGACGAAGATTCCGACTCGGAATCGGACTCATCAACTACTTCCCAGTCAGAATAAACTCCCTGATCATTTCCTTTTGAACTTTCCTGTCCTGCCAATATACCCTGGAAGACGGCTGATTGGGTGTTTGGCTTTTTGTACTCCGAGCGACGATTTACGCATGTCCAATCTATGACTTCTAAAAATACTCAAATGTCTCAACTTAGTCCGAGTAATAGCATTGTATATGGATCTGTTGTCGAGTAAGACTCTAAACGAGCCCAGATGATGTCCACACGCAGTTCTCCGGGTTATCCTGCATGGCATGCTCAATAGCACTCGGAAAGAACATTGTCACAGTTGTAATGAGTAGCCACCATGTTACCCTCTTCGCAACAGTTCTTAAAGCAGTCGTTCATCGCATGGTCCGACCTCCAACATTTGATGTCGTGGTAGTACTGATAACCGCATTTTTCACCGCAGGAATGTGTTGGGGCTTCCGGTGAGAGATAGGAAGCAGTCGAGCAGAAGTAGCACTTCGTGTCAGCCACTGCGCCCAGGAAAAAGAGCGAGAGAAGGCTGACTTGACGCATCAACATATTGGCGGGAAATTTGAGTCTTTGCAGACAGTCGAAGTATAGAATTGTCAATACTCTGGACTGATCGAACTTCGAATTTGAGATTGATACCTGATAGTACAGAATAGGGTCCTTGTGGTTATAGGGGTAGATATTCAAGATCCTCTCGACAACTTTCAAGCCTCAAGTGGATGTGTACAAGCTGGAATTTACAGACAAGTTAGACGACTTGTCTGGTCCTTTTAAGGGCCCGCTTTACGGGGTTTTCCTCTTGAGTTCTCGTGTTCTGCCGTTGATCTACATGGCCTATCATACCGCTAGTTCTATTTTAGGGCAAGAATTGTCTCTCTTTTCATTGGCAGCATATATTGTACATGCGTATTTACTTTTTATATTGAATTCGGCCAAGGCACCCGTGGACGGCCGAGAATATATTGCCAACCTCAAGGGAAAGACTGTGGAGGTTATTGAGGACAAGAAAGACCCCAGTTGCATTCTAATTGTATCTGTTGAGATTTCTGAAATGGACTCTGACATGGAAGGGATCGACATTGCCCAAGCTCGCTTCTATTGAGTCTTGTCAGACACGCACTGCTCACGACCAAATATTCACTACGCAAGGGTCTGTGGATATAAAAGACTTGCGTAACGCCTAGGTGCCAAACGGAAGTCCTCATCTGACTCGTCTAGGCATGGAATGTCGCTTGGACCTTTAATGATCTACATGGACTTTACGAACACGAAGATGGACATGACTGCAGGTCGCTTCGCATCGGTAGGACACTCCTCCAACCCCACATTCAGTTCACCTCAAGAGGCGAAAAATTTCAGACTAGTCACGCTATTCACACCCTTCCGGAGGCTGAGACTGCGGGTGGATGTTTTACTTACTCACAGTAACTCCATTTGGCACGGCAGCCCTAGAAAATACAGATGGTGATAGCTACTCCCAGGCCACCAGTGATGATTGGGTTGTCCAGCAAATTGTACAGGTCAATTCAGTCAGGGACATTCTATATTCGTTTGGGAAAACACGAGTTCTAAGAAAACACACGGTGGCAAGGTTCCACAACATTGATGCTTTGATTTGTCTTGTATGGAGCAACTGTTCACCACGGTTAGCTCTTTGTCCATCGTGGCCTATAATGTAGGGCTGCACATGAATAGGAATGAATGGTCTATTTTTTCACTTTTGTATCTTCGTGGGGTTATTTGCCCCCTTTTTCAAGCCTTCTGTGTCATGATATTTCGTTGCGATACATTTCGGGGAGTGATATAACACCCTTGAAAGTTTGGCTAGTATCAGGGAACTGCCTGCAGCACTGTTTAACCTGTCCACAAGATGCAGTAGACCTGTCGAGGTGGCTATATTGTCTCTATTATGATATGTAGGTCCCGATGGCCGTCGCTTTATAAGGGCGCATGTCACCCGTCCACGGGCGGGTGCCCGGGCGGGCGGGACCCGACGGGGTGATTACTTAATAATCACATTCACCCCATGGCTGGAGCTCTATGCCTTCATGAACCTATCTCCTTCTAAGGTTCAGGTATGAGCCACCGAATAGGGGCTGTCAAATCTCGATCTGGGTGCAAAACCTGCAAGTAAGACTTCCCGCTGTCATTTTCAGAGTCTAGCTCTGACCGCCCACCAGAATCCGCAGAGTCAAATGTGACGAGGAGAAACCAAGTTGCCTTCGCTGCTCTACCACAGGACGGAAATGTGGATATGAGGACAGAGGGGCATCTCCATGGGCTGCCTCTCCATTTGCTTTAGCACCAGGCCACGCACTGTCGTCTCAAAATGCAGGACGACGAGAACGTCGCGCATTTGAATACTACTTCCGACATGTGTCCCAGCATCTCGCAGGTGGAATGAACGTAGATTTCTGGACAGGGTTGTTCCGCAGATCTGCCGCAGTGAGCCCGCTGTGTGGGATGCAATGATTGCGATTAGCACATTGTACGAAAATCCGACACAGTGCGTGGACTTTCATTTTTTGAGAGATCGCCGAAATAAAGCGTGGCTGCTTAGCAATGCCCAACAGGATGCATTGACATGGTATTCACGATCAATATCTAGCGTTTCTTCGCAGATTCAGCGGGGTAGTGCAGATCCATACATTGCACTCATCAGCTGCGCACTATTTATCTGCGTGGAGACGATCCAAGGACATATGGAACAGGCCTTGGAGCTCTACCGACAGGGTATCGCTTTGATACTTGATCTCCGTGCCCAAGTCGGCCATGGAGGAGTATCTAGCAGTAAGGCTGTTCTGTTGGAACGTAGCATTGTGCCCTTATTTCTACGACTGGGCACAAGTTCCCTGACCATTTCGGGGACTCGGTTTCCTATTGAAGTTTTCGGATTTGTAGACACAGATACGAGCGTTGGCTTCACATCTGTCGATTCCGCAAGAACCATTATGTCCGCCCTAGCCGCGGAAGTGATCCTCTTTGAGCGCGAGGCGAACTTACACCTTCGGGCAGTTGGTAGCGAGTCCGCTGTAAGCCCAGAAATGGTCGCAAAAAAAGAAGCACTCCGAACCCGTCTCACTGAGTGGCATCGGGCATACACCAATCTTTGTCAAAGCAGCAGCTTCATACCCACTGTCCCCATATACCCAGAGCCCATCCTGCTCACATATCATGCTGCTGCTTTGGTTTATGTGACAGGATGCTTAAGGCAACAGGAAACCGTTTTCGATGTCCATTTCGCAGACTTTGTTACTATCGTCGAGCAGTCTAGATTGATTCTCGACGCCTCAGCCGGTTCAAACGGGGCCCAGCCTCCATTCACCTTTGAGATGGGTGTGGGTGTCCCTCTCGCCATGACTGTGTTGAGATGTCGTGACCCAAACTTGCGTCGAAGGGCCTTGGATCTATTGCGGCTAGCGCCTCCAATACAAGGATTTTTCAAATGCGCCCCCGTGGCTCTTTTGTCAGAAGCGTTGATGAAGCTGGAGGAGGGCTATGGCCTTGCTCTGACGCAAGAGAATACAGCATCGCTTTCTCATAAAGTTCTCGACAACAAACCTGTAATGACACTTGAGGCAAGCGGGTCACAAGCAGCAGCACTTATCCCTGAAGAGGCTCGTATACATGACTATAGTATCTTCAGGCCGAATGAGTGGCAACCTCCATGGATCACCGAGGAAGATATTGCACCGTTTCCACATGGTCCGAACCAACTATATCTGGGATTTTCAAGAAACCAGTATGACAAGGAAAGCAGCACTTGGCAGCCGATCTTTCAATGCATACCGTTAGAGGCCAGCTTATGAATGATCTGTCACGTCTCTCATGTCTCGTGATTATGTGTATAATATCTGCGAATTTCACCATCGATGTCTCTCCATAATAAGAGGAGAATCGTTAGAACAGATTCAATTTACTCTTTACCAAGGATGACTTTTTCAATTAGCTGTCTTAGAATAGTAGGTGAATATGCAAAGAGCCCTCTCAATGTACTGTCGGCCATGGAAATAGTTGCCCTATGGCCCCACCTACCTCACCGCCTGTCTATTTATACCGCCTACCTAAAACGCGTAGTATAGACGCTAAAATAGCACGCGAAACTGCCTTTTCGTCAAAAACTCGGGATTTATCTCTTTATACAGCTTCGAAGCTACTTTTTACTTTCTATACCCCTTCTACCACATCTCCCTCAATATGGCGCGGTCCAAAGAGCTCACACCTGCTATACGTGAGCGTATATGCGAACTCCATGCCATTGGGTGGGGGTATAAGCGCATTCATACCCGCTATCCCGACATTGCGCTCTCTACAATCCGATACACCGTGAAAAAGGAGAAAGAGCGACGAGATGGCGTGTCAAAGCCGCGATCTGGCAGGCCGAAAAAGCCTACCGAAGCTGATAAAGACCGGATCTTGAATGCTACCCACAAAGACTAGCGCATTGTTCGCCGATGCCCCGCCTTTTTGATAACGGCTGTAGAGTGGAACCCCCTCTTAACGATGATACTCCGAGATGTATCGAGTTTCATTTGATACGAAGCTCTTGCATTATTTATCTTCAATATGTCCGAACGATTGAAGCTTGACCTGGATCTCATTGTGCTAAACTGTACTTTGGCCACTGTTCAAGACGTTGTTCAATGTGACATTGGCGTCAAAGACGAGAAAGTTCACTCAATTGTCCCGCAAGGATCGTTGGCTGGCTTGAAGGCCAAAAAAACATTGATGCAAAGGGAGCACTGGTTACGGTTAGTCTCTTTCCCACCTCTGTCACGAGTAAACTATCGCCATGTGCTGACCTTCCCCAAGCCAGGAGGAATCGATGCCCATGTTCACCTTCAGGAGCCGCCTCTATTTGGACTTGGCTCCACTGCAGACAGCTTTGAGTCCGGTTAGTCTCCCAGACTGCAGAGCTGGCAATTAACCCGTTCATTAATCCTCCTAGGCACCCGCGCCGCGATTGCGGGAGGTACAACCACCATTGTAGCCTTTGCAACCTCAGCGGAAGCATGAAGACAGTGTTCTCTCGACACTAGGTTGCGCTCACGAACGTGCCCACAGCCAATGCTACAGCGACTACTCGTTCCATCTCATCGTCTCCAACCCATGCACAAAGACGCTTGCGTAATTTCCAGCCTTCCGAGAAATGGGCATCTCGTCCGTCAAGATATACATGACCTACGAAGCTTTGCACCTCAACGACGAGCAATTCTTGGATGTCTTGTTTCAATCCCGTCTAAACAAGGTCACGACTCTGGTGCACGCCGAGAATGACTCTATGATTGCGTGGATGACCAAGGAACTGCACGAGCGCCAACTATATGCACCGAAGTACCATACGGCTTCTCACCCGTCTATCGCCGAGATTGAGGCAAGCTACCGTGCGATCTGTCTCGCTGAGTTTATTGATACTCCCATCTTAATCGTGCATGTCTCTAATCCTCGAGCCGTCGATAACATTCGACAAGCCCAGGCAAAGGGGCTTCCAATTTACGCCGAGACATGTCCTCAATATCTGTTCCTCAGCAGCGAGAACCTGGATCGACCTGGGCTCGAGGGTGCAAAATATGTTTGAAGTCCGCCGCTGCGCAACAACGACCATGAGGCTATCTGGGCCGGTCTTGAGGACGGAACATTTACCATCCTCTCGTCCGACCATAGCCCATTTAAATTCAACGACTCGTTGCCTATAAAGACATCAATATTCATGTATCCTTATTTCTAGTATATAATTTGTTCGAATCCCTTAACAGAGCGTCGTTATCATACCATGGCCTACATATGTAGTTCATGGTGGATCTACGGGGGTATTACTTGATGTCCCGTGATTGGAGGCCTGGTGAGATTTCTTCGACGCGCCATGACGTCACCCAGAATCCCCATTGCCATTTCGTATACATCAACTTCCTTGATCTACATACTGCAATAAATTGTTAATACTATGCTGGTGATGGCAAATTATACCAAGCTCCCAATTCTCCCGTCTGTTTCTGGCTTAGCGTAGTTTGCAATGCCAATTGACAATGACCGTTTTCTACGTCATCAAGCATGTCTAACTAGAGAGACAGAACGAGCATGAATGAGCAATAAAGATATGAGTGGTGGCAGATGAAGCTCAAATTTTACAGAGAATATCCATCGTCACAGAACTCATGCTGTGCATTTTAAGCCCTCAAACACGCTTACTGAGGCCTAGTTTGAACAGGAAGGTCACTTACGTTGCTCCTCTCTCGGCTCTCCATTCAATCGCAAACCTGAGTGCTGCGCGACCGAAAGCCCACCCGACGCCCGACCATTTGAAGCAGTTCCCGGCACCCAATCGCCTGTTCAATATTAGGTCAACGGCTGCTGCTATGTCGTCAGTCGCCCAATTTCTCAACACCTCCGGCGAGGCCGATCCGGTATGGGTTCACCAAGTTCCATACTCCAAACACCCTGAGTTTTCTCCCCTCAAAGAAAACATTGAAACCAATGTCTGCATCGTCGGAGCCGGAATCGCTGGAGTCTCCATTGCTTACGAACTCGTCAATCGCGGATTCAATGTCACATTGCTCGAAGCAAGAAAAGTACTTTCTGGAGAGTCTGGGCGTACCAGCGGCCATTTGGCCAACGCTCTAGATGACGGCTACACCGAAATAGCCAAGAAGCACGGCAAGGAAAATGCGCGGATCGCCGCCGAAAGCCATACCTGGGCCTTGAACCGGGTGGAAGAAATAGCTAGGAACCTCAACATCGAATGTGAATTCCGCTACCTCCCAGGGTACGAAATTTCCCAATACAATGTGGACCATCCAGGTTATCAAAAGGAGATCGATTCCTTGAGAGAGGAGGTCAAAATGGCAAAGGATCTTGGTCTATCAGTGAGCTTCCACGATGACTTGAGAGTCCAGGGTTGGGACAGCGGCCCGGACCAGCGAGGCGGTGCTGTTTTTGAAAACCAAGCAACTTTCCACCCAACAAAGTACCTCGTCGGGGTTCTCGAGTGGCTGAGAAACCAGCCCAACTTCAACTGTTTCACCGATACCCGAGCCGTGTCACTCACCGAAGAAGGATTCGAGGTCTTGGGTTTCGGGAACGAACGAGTCACTATCCAAACAGAGAATGGTCAAAAAGTCACCGCGAATCAAGCCGTCCACGCAACATGTGTTCCTTTGCAGAAGCTCGCTGTCATTGCCCAGATGGAATACAATCGTACCTACTGTATCGCAATCCGCGTCCCTAAAGGATATGTCCAGGACTGTCTACTTTACGATCAGGCCGAGCAGTACAAGTATGTTCGTCTTACCGAGTGTGACGATAAGGACGACTACCTCGTCGTTGGCGGCTGCGACCACAAGGTCGGCCAAGAAGATACCGGCGGTCGCTTCACGGAGTTGGAACAATGGGTACGCGCCCGGTTCACTAGAGCAGGGTCCGTGGACTACGAATGGAGCGGCCAGATATTCGAGCCCGTTGATTACATGGCGTACATTGGAAAAAATCAAGGCACGAAACACTCGTACATTGTCACTGGTGATAGTGGCAATGGACTCACGCACGGCGTTCTGGCTGGAAAGCTTATCGCCGACGAAATTGGAGGGTTTACGAATCCGTGGAGTCAGCTTTACGACCCCCGTCGCATGGCCAGCTTGGCAAAATCGCTTCCATCGATGCTCAGCCATGATCTTGAGATAAATTCGCAGTACAAGCGCTTTCTACAAACTGATATCACGGATATTGAAGATCTGGTGCCCGGCACAGGCGGTGTCTTGAATAAAGGCTTTTCTCAGCCGATCGCAGTCTACAAAGACGAAGATGGAGAGGTACACGAGAGCAGTGCGCTTTGTCCTCACATGAAGGGCGTTGTTTGTTGGAATAATACCGAGAAGAGCTGGGACTGTCCTGTCCATGGGAGTCGGTTCAGCAAGGATGGAGTTTGTGTAGAGGGACCAGCTAATGGTAACTTGGAGCCTTTGAAGAAGAGAAAGCAACAACCAGTCTAAGGGGTCGCCTAGGAGAGGTTCAAGCTTGTATGCAGATTTACGTGGAGCCGACATTGAAGAAACAATGTAATGTACCCCAAGTGTGCGATATTCAGGCAGTCGAGCCCAAAATCCATTAGTAAAGGCACATACTGGTCTGCCACGCATACCTTAACTTGCTTCCCCCTAGTAAACCCTGGCATTGTCCCTGATCTTTCGGGCGAGCAAAAGTCCATTCACGACGTATGCCAATCCCTCGCTCAGTAGTGCATTCATCCGCCTCTCGAGGCTTAGTATATTTAACGCGGATACTACCTCTAATGTAGAACCTATCGCTGATTAATCTAGGGGTAATAGTTACCTAGGTAGAATTCACGATCTATAATAAGGTTATATCGACATACCGCTGGTTATACCCCTTTGGGCCATCAAGAATGGCCATCAATGTGTAAAGTCGTGGTAAACTTTAACCATGAAATTGGGATCCTTTAGATTTGGCTTCAGGTCCTGAATGAAGACCTGACAACGGAGGTTGTTTTGGACTGCCTTCATAAAGAATTGAGAATCATGTTAGGGGGTAAAGCTGTGTCCCGTTGATGAGTCTCACATGCTTCAACCTTGCAAGTTCGAAGTAAAGAGCTGATTCTTCACTTCCATCAAGTCGTTAGTCTCCACTTGCTGGGGAGTTATGGTAAGGGTGGTATCGGGTACCTTTGCGTTTTGGTCGCTCAACATGGGGGTGGCAAGTTCTTGTCCAGTGTCATTAGTGCTGATATTCATGGGTGACCCCGTGATGATCTGCGACTATCAAATGACATAACGTCAGAAAGCCCGCTGGCACTTTCCCATCGGGATCTCATGGAGCAGTGGGACAAGTCTGCAACCGTCTCTTTTCCATAGAATTCTAGCAGTGAGATAATGACTGTTGGCAGATGAAGACACTCACGGAGGGTACAATTATTTGCAGCACTCGACCATTAGCAGCAAGCACAGGCTAAGGACCACTGGAAACCCGATCCAGGGAGGAAAACGATTTGGCAGGAGCCAAACGGACCATTTCCTTTCTGACAAGGCTCACAAGCCTTCTCGCAGGAGCCTTATGGCCGATGAGCTGACCCAACGCTGCACGAGCGTTAATGATCGTTGATACCTTGGGATCCTTGTTGGCACGCCAGTCCACATCGCTGCGTTTCGGATCCACACGGAACCACAACTGGTCCGTGACGATGCCAAAAAGGTGAGAGAGAACCGGGAGTCCAGTGGCATCCAAACCGGCTCTTAAACGGGACAGTTAGCTTCCACGCGGACACAATCGGGACGAACAAAACATGCAAAGGTCAACTTGGGCCTGAGAACAGGCCGTTGCGGCGGCAGGGGCCAACATCAGGTGAGACCAGGTCCCGTCACCCCCATGTTGCTCAACGGCGGGGGCGCACCAGCAGCACCTGCTCCCGCAACAGGGGCCACAGGCTGCGTGTGCGTTGAGTTCCTTTCTGGAATTGGCATTAAACGCCCAATATATGAGCGTGTGTCTGCCACTTGTGCCTTCATCATGCGCTTCTCCACGATCGTCAAGTGGTCGGCTTCGACTCATTTGTCCCTTGCATTATCGAACCACACCAAGGCGCAGTTATGTAGTGGTGTGGGAATTTTTACGGTAAAGCTGATGAATCCACTGCTGAAAGCTCTGGCACTATGGCGGGCCGAAACATCTCTCTGAGCATGTGAAGGTCGTTGGCTGAGAGAATCTGCGCGGATTGAGAAAAGCATTGATGGGATCTGGTTGTACTCAGGTAGAGTCGTCCGTGCTTCTAGACAGCTAAGAGAAAGTGGATTTTTCGGGTCCGATCTGGATCAGGACGGCGAAGTAAGTACCACCTAGGTTGACTTCTCCTCGGACTCTTTCAGGACTCAGGCAACGTCGACCGCGCCTAGAGAAGGATGGTGAGACCGAGTTAAAACTTCTCGTTGAGTGGCGTTACGTTTGGTTCCACGGCACCATATCCTTCTCCCCTCTCCCCTACCCCTTGCCTTTTCCTTTCAAGACCGGCAGAAGGTTGCCGTCTGTGGCCAGCTGGAGCGGCAGGCGGTGCACTGACGGCGGGGCAACAATCTCCAGAATCCACGTTCCGGAGAAGGAGGCGAGGCGTCGGTGATCAGCAAGTACACCATCCTCAACGCCAAATAGGTGCGAAATTTCCTTGGCAGTCATCGACTTGGGTACTAGATGGGCAGCTTTCACGGACTTGTCGGGAAGTATTTGATGAAGGATATGGCACCACGAAAAGCCAGGTTCACATTTTTGGTTGACACCATAGTAATTGTAAACTCTTTTTTTGGAATGCGGGCTGGTCAGACTTAAGGTCGGTGATGAGGAGAAGGTCCGGGCAATCGACTTGGCCGGGTTGCATGAGGCTTTGGATTGTTGAATGCACGATAGCAGTTGGAATATTCGCAGTAGACTTGGATTGGGGGGGGGGAAGGGCGTACTACAAGGCAGAGTGACATGAAGGAGAAATGGAAATGAAAATGCTCCAGGAAGGAGCACCTGACATCTCTTGCATCTGATATAGTAGTGTATATAGTAAACGTCGTATAGATTGCGTCCAGCCTAGGATCTTTCAAGGATTACGCCCAAGTACGTACATATTTACGTATGTAGGCACGCAATCGAAGAATCCCTTCCTTGCTTTCATTTATCTCTTGCTCCTCTCTCACCCCTCTCTCACTTCTTCACTTCTCTTCCACTCCACTATTACTTTATACCTTATTCATTACCTCGGTACTACACACCACATCCAGGGATCGTTACCTTACTGACCTGTTCCTCAATATTCTAAGCCATGGCGAAGCGAATAATGCGGTACGACAGCCATAAACAAACGAAGCTAAAGTCGACGCGCAACAAGGTCGACGATGACGATGACGGTGGCCAACATGCATCACCAGCCGACCTAAAGATCGTGTTGACTTTATACAGGTTATAGAAAAGCAGCTTAAGGCTGCACAGAAGAAGGTCGAGAAAGAGGAGGAGAACCAGAAGGGCATCCATATAGAGCTCCATTGGAGCCCAGGGCACAGCGACATGGCGACATTCCAGGGAACGAGGCTGCTCATGACATGTCCAGGAGCGCGCAGTCGCACCTTGACGTGTCTGGTCCTCCTAGGTCAAAAGGGTTCGCGGGAAATAGCGAAGGCAGGCCAACCTAGGACACTTTCGACACCACCGACCACCTGGACCTATTCAACTTTGAAGACGCCGAAATCGTGGTCTACGCAAGCTACGTGGGCGTCGCCTTCGATAGTGACGGCAATTTGATCCAGCCAACCAACGGAGTGAAACTAGCGGACGAGAATGCAACTAAGCCAATGAGTTAATGACCTGGAAGGACCACAGCGAAAGACCTCGGGATACCCGGCCGATTTCGACGGCACCGAACAATCACGCTATCAGAATTCCCGAAGACTCAGATGAGTATTCGTCGGTTTCTGAGACCTCCTATTGTTGACGGCGGTCCTTTGGCGCCTCGATGCGATATGAGTTCACAATATACAAAAAATTGCATCCTCTAGGAAGAGGGAGGATCGGCTAGTGGAGACTTATCCATCCGTAAACTGTTTGCACAAATACAAAAAATAGTCGTGCCCGGGATCGAACCGGGAACCTTCTCGGTGTGAGCGAGACGCCATGACCATTAGGCCACACGACTAGTTATGGGATTTGAATGCTACTTTTGCTTTTATGAGACTAACTGCTCACGGTCCGTGGTCTTGGGCAACAGATGTCTGCTATGCCTTGATGCTGGCGACCCACGAGCGCAGAAGGCTCTTTCTGCCTCCAAAAGCTTCGGGATCTTCAAATTCATGGTGTTAAATAGGCTAACTATCTAGGTAACTAACTCGTCACGTAGTTGGGTTACTTAAAGCCTGGAATTTGAATTTCCTTTGCTCCCTTTCTAGTTCGCTGATAACTGTTAAAAGCTCGTAAAAGGAGCTTAATAATCAAGTCGCGTGGCCTAATGGTCATGGCGTCTCGCTCACACCGAGAAGGTTCCCGGTTCGATCCCGGGCGCGACTATTTTTTTGGTCATAGGTAACTGCTAGTCACCTCGGAGTGTACTTTCTCTATGTGTTCCATTGATAAAAAATCTACTCTATACATATGTACCAAAAAGACTACTGAGTAATCTATAGATAGTTAGGATGAAGCCCTATATAAGTAGCAGAATGTGGTATAAGCTCACCTCTTAAGTTCAACCCTAATAGCTATCCGAATGACAATAACAAAATGTACAAGTACGGAGTAGTAAGTCCGACATCCATTCCTTCATAGACCCATATTTGACTAGTTTACTTTGCCATGCAAATCCGCTGCAATACTGATATGTGAAGATTTGCCGTGAAAAAATATTAATAATCAAGTCGCGTGGCCTAATGGTCATGGCGTCTCGCTCACACCGAGAAGGTTCCCGGTTCGATCCCGGGCGCGACTATTTACTTTTTTTGTCATGTCTACCTGATAGTTATTGCCTAGGAGCATCTGTTCCTTCGAAAATCTACTCCATGCTTAAAAAGACTGATACATCTAGATAGCATTTAGCATAAGCCTAGGGCTACCCCCTGACAGCCATCCGAATGCATTAACAAAATGGTTGAGTACATAGTCCATTCCTGCCTAAACCTCTATTTCGTCTGCTTTCCTCTTCTGTCCGAGTAACTTCCGCGCCTCAATGAGGCATGCGACTCTGGTGGCGATACTGAGGCCCTTCTTGAAATAGATATCTGGTCTTCGGGGATATTCGGTGATGTTAAATCCTGGAACGTCACGAAATCCCCTCCATAATTTGCTGAGCTTGCAGTTGTAGATTGTTGTCCACTTAGAATCGGTTGGTTTCCAAATTGTCGTGGTGTTGCACGGTTCGCATTTTATCTCTGGTAAGAGAAATCTCGGGACCTGGTGGCCAGTCCATCTAGCTGGCACTGTTTTGGTCTCATGACAGGTTCTTCCGTGAGTACCCTTGCATGCCACTTCAAGGTCCCTGGGATAGTCTCCAAGCTCGCTTGGCTGAAGAATAAACCAGTAACCCCACTGTTCAAGTGCCTTATCAAAACGATATTTCTCCAAGTCCCTTCGATTAGCAGGTAGACACCTGATCCGCTCGTACAAGGGGCGAAGTTCCGCCCAATGTGCGGTGCAGTCTGGTCTGCCACAACTGCTGGAAAGTCGCCACATTACGTACCGTTCCGGTGAGAACTTTGCCCAGTATGCATATGGATCGTCAAGGTATGGCCTCTGACATGAACCACATTTTCGCGGAACAATGTTGTTCGGTGATGCCCGAAGAATGAGCAAATCATCCACACTCGGTCTTCTCGAGCGAGCAATCATCCAGCCGTAAGCGGCCAGAACGGAAATTGCGAGAACGAGCACATTTAGCTCTTTCGGATTACCCTTGCACCTTTCCAAGAGCCAAAAAGCAGTCTCAAGTCCATCCCTAGAAGATATTGGGGACTTGTCGAATCTGAGGCCGTCTTGGGCTTGTAGAAACTCAACTAAAGGGTGCGGCAAGTCCTCGAAGTCATAGCATTCCGACTCCGTCTCTTGGTGATAGCAAGTGAGTACCTTTTGGAACAGGCAGATATTATGGAGGTTGATTTCCGATGCTCGAATGACTTCACTGATTGGAGAAGCGAAAGCTAGGCTCAATTGCCCTAATTCACACCAGTATTCTGCTATTTCCTGTAGGCGAACGTTCCTCTGTCCCGCTAATAAGTATGAGTCTGTAAAAATTTGCTAGGAATTCTTCATACCAAGGTTTCATCATTGGTCTCACACCTGAGACGAGGGAGATCTAAAGTTTGGCCTGATTTTGGCAATTTTTCAAGCTCGAATACCTGTGTAGCTGCTGATAGATCTTCACTTGTAGCATGGAGATATTGCAAGCCCCGACGTGCAGGTTTGAGTCGTGTTTGGTAGGAGGGAAACTCGGAATTTGGGAATGCTGTTTTGAGTTGGGCTAATGCTTGGCCTTTCCAGATATCTCTCTGATTCTTCACCTCACGTGTCAAGCGAAGGTTTGCAATCAGTCGAGGGTCCAGCTGATAGAAGTTAGGTGTAATTTGAATACCACCTAAGCGAGCCGCAAGTTCTAGCGCTCGATCCTGTGGGAGACCAAAACGATGTCGCCAATTCTGACCCCTCTCTCCATTGCTTTGCACATACATGAATTGTTGGGGATGCGAAACGAATATGATGAAGCGCTGAAAAACATTGGCTTTCATTTCCAGATACAGGACCAAGCCTGCGTAACTTCCCCAGAGTGGTAGGGGCACGAGGTTAATACCGGGATACTGCTTCATTCGTGATCGTACGTTGGCACCCCAGCAAATTTCGACAACGGCCTTCATCGCTGACCGTAGGCCAAACACAAACGCCTCATGTATCTCCGAGATCTCCTCAGAGTATACATTGGCGCAGTATTTGCTGTCGTCCCGTCGAGCGAAATGATCCAACAACAAGCAATTGTTTTCCGCCGAGAATCCAGCTTTGTGGATCTGGGAAATAGAAGCGTTCGATAGGTCTTGCGTTTCTTGATAGCAGGGGTCGCCGACACTGAACGTTGGATTGAAAAGATGACAGGCAACAGATGCTCCGAGCGGGTCACCAGGCGGTCCACTTGGTCGTACTAGGTGCTCCTTAGGTCGAGGGGCACCGTGTAGATCCCCACCAGGCACATTCTCTGTCAGCGAAGAGCTCAAACTCCTTGTCTAGATCCCAGGTAGCGGATTCCGTCTGGCCTAGCTTCTGTTTAGTATTTGCAAGTCCTTGCCCTTTTGAGGCCAAACACACACCTTGAGCTTCTATTGATTCTTGAACCCGTCCAGCCTCAAAATCTCTTATGCCACGAAGAAGCTGTTGAATACGTATCAACTCCTCTCCTGAGAAGTATTGCTCCGGGTCCTCTAACCATAGGTCGTGGAAGAGACGAAGTCTTTGCTCGGCCTGCATGATGGAGCGAGCCTTTCATGTGGTGTTTAATCTGGAGTTTTAGGCTGGCCAAATACGACATTTCACCTTCATCACTAGATAATACTAGCAGCAAATTCTGTCGGCAGGAAATGCCGTTCCTGATTCGTTTATGGCCACATCTCACACCTCTGACCATCAGTACTGGAAAGTATGGATCCTAGTCTCTGCCAAGGTTACGAAGCCGGGGATCGATGGTATTCAAGCTTGGCGTTTGTGTATTCGGAGCCCGTCACTGAGCGGGTAAGGTATCTCCGGCCGTGTCAGTTTTGCTTCCTTTTTCCTCGATTTGATGGTATCGACTCAACCTGTGGCTCCTTCGGGTGTTCGATGAGCAAATTATAAGCTGATGAGAGCTGTCCGGATCGTTGTCTTAGCTTGAGGCCTCTCGCTCTTTTTCGGGCGAATTTGAAATTTGAAAATGACGCTGTTTGACCGCCCGGGCACTCCAACAAAACTAGTGAAATTCATTGTTTAAACGTTCCCTTCAAAATAATATACGTATGTAGGAAGTGAAGATGAGGGATATATATCTCTGCAATAGTTTCCTGAGGGAATCTGTGTACAGTGGCACCGGACCTCGGGATCCATGGATGGTCACTGATCCGATTATCTAAAGTTGACCCGCACCTGTCCCCAGCGGATACTCCAGCTTCATTATTTTCCCTTTCCCTCTTATTTACCGCATTTTAAACGGACTATAGTAATGGAAGATGCAGCCGAGCCCCTGTTCTCGACACACCCGACTGACGCTGACTGCATCCCGACCGTAATGGAGATCCCCAAGGTCTCAAGCTCGGATGTCTCGAGCTCGGAGGAGCATACACCTAGCGATACAGCAGAGCTGCCTCATCTGGTCATCCGGTTAATTCAATGCCAACAATGCTCCCGCCCTTGCGAAGTCCGCTCCGCCTACCATGCGGGAATTCAGTCTGTCGGGAATGCTTACCTGCCCTTCGGCCGCGTAAGGGTATTACTTACCCCGTGGCGGAGGGGAGGGACCAGGAATTTACGTGCTTTTGGAAAGGAAGTAAGGCGTGTGTTGGGGATCATTGTGATGGAGACTGCGGCGGTGATGTGCTGCTTGGGAAATTGGTTGGTCTTTTTGGGGAAATACTGGGGTCAGAGGCAAACAAGGCAAACAACGTGCCTCAAGATTTGTCTCAGGATGACGGGCCATTACTGCGATGGAAAACCGATGGGCGGAATCAAAATGCAAGTGCACAGTTGCAGCGACATGGGTGGCTGGGGGGGAATCTATAACCTGGCACTGGAAGGCCGGTTCCCCTCTGATGCATGTGAGGTTATCTATGGAGATTCTACTACCCCAGCCGGAAGCATTGAATCGCAGGATCTCATTGACTTTCAAACACTGCGAGACAGACTCCGCGCCGAGTTAGACTGCCAGGTTTGCTATTCACTCGTCTTGGATCCGATGACCACGCCTTGTGGCCACACCTTCTGCCGAAAATGTGTCGCGCGGGTTTTAGACCATACCGATCTGTGCCCCATTTGTCGCCGAAAGCTAGGAATGCCTAATGATCTACAGTCAGAACCCATAAATCAGACTGTGACGCGGCTGGTTGACTACCTTTTCCCCGACCAAATCTCACTCAGGCGGGAGACAAGCGCCCAGGATGAAACAGGCCCTGATTACGAGAAGAACTTGCCACTTTTCGTGTGCACCCTATCATTCCCGACAATGCCGACTTTCCTCCATGTCTTCGAGCCCAGGTACCGACTTATGATTCGCCGTGTTCTCGCAAGTGGAAATGGAAAGTTTGGTATGGTCATGTACAACCGGCAACGCCGGGCACTGCCAGGTCAACGGGAAGACGTACCATTCGTGCAATACGGAACCCTCTTGATGATCGAGCGATATGAGTTGCTTCCTGATGGCCGCAGCCTTGTGGTGGCTACAGGCGTGTCGCGGTTCAGGATACTCGACTCGGGAATGCGGGATGGCTATTTTGTTGCCAGAACAGAGCGCGTAGACGATATCTCGCTCGCAGAGGAGGAGCGGCTCGAGTCGATGGAAACCTCAACGGATGGCGTAAATGCTCTGCCAGAAGAGAATGAATCTGATCCCCCATTAGACTCAGTGTCGACGCAACAGTTACTCCTCTTGGCAAGAGATTTCATCAGCAACCAGCGCAGATCTGGGGCTCCTTGGCTGCACCCACGCGTTATGCTAGCATATGGTCCCATCCCCACAGATGCAGCGCTCTTCCCTGGTGGTTTGCAAGCATTTTGCCCATCTCCGAAGAAGAAAAATATCCTATACTCGCTGCCACAAGTGTTCGAGAGAGACTGAAGATCTCGGCGAAATGGGCGAGACAACTCGAAGCTCGAGACTGGTAAGATCAACATATTTTCGCTGAGTTCGATACTATTCTGACATTCTCGATTAGGTCTACTCGCTCATCACTTCACTCTGTCTTATGACTATCCGTCCCTCTCCTTATCTTCTGCATCATCCCTCTATTACTGAGGCCCTTGTCAGGAGCATTCACCTCGATATCGCCGAATGTATTCACTTCGTTGACACCGTTTTCTTTCTCGATCTCGGTCTCATTTGGTGGCCCCGGACTTTCGTTGCCCAGTATTAGCTCGCAGATACCCAACGAGCCTGATCAAACCCGCGAAATTGGCCAACAAGAGCAGAAAGATGACACGTACGTCTCTCAAGGATTTGTGATTGGCGCCTTCCTGGTGATTTTCTTCGCCCAGGTTGGGGTTAATTTTCTGCATGCTCTTCGAACCGGAAGACGCAGACGACGGTTTCTGGAAACGCAGTTTCCACAGCCCTTACCCCAGCGGGGTCAGGAGCAAGATCGTGGCTTGAATCGAGGGCCTGGTATCAATACAAATGCTACAGAAGACAGTGCACGAGATGAGACGGAGGGACGCCCCGCTACAGGAAATGGTGTCGGATAGTGGGATCCGACACATCTGCCCAGGTGATACCCAAATTTACCCCCGATTTGGTACTGTATGTCATCGCTACCACACAAGAAATATACCCCCTTTTTACGAAGCTTCACGACATTTCTTTTTTCTCGTTCATTATAATCTGCCACTTAATCCCAGCTTGTTGTATATAGAAGCCTAAATTGGGGCTCCACATATTGATATCCATATCTTCTTGCAACTCGAGATTCGGACTGTTCAAGAAGCCTTTGGACATGGACCCATGTTATACAACATGCATTTAAGGCTCTCACAGCATCTCTATCTAATACCTGCGGAGCTAGGAACGTAGTCTTAGATGCTACAGCCTATCTCCAGTGATTCTTACCCGTTCCATCCTTCAACATTATGCACCAAGCGCCACGGATTAGCAACAATGAGCACATGTGCAGTAATCGGGTATACATGTACTCCATATTCTGGTCGATCTTCAATATTCTTGGCATGAGTATTGTACATGTATTTCTCCACTCACTGTACGTGTAATTTTCAGACGTCAGATGGCGGGACAGCCCGTATGGTATTCCATGGTTGATTGGTATTGGTGCCGTGGAAATATAAAATCTACTTTTAGCCCCCATGCGGCTTACGGCCCCCATCTGAAAAATTTCGGGGGTTCCGCCCTTGGAACCTGCTGTATTCTTCTTCTGATTATTATTTTGCGGACATGAGAATCAGCCGCCCTTGGTTGCAGATACAGCGTCTGCTCAAAGAACCAGCCGCAAAGGTTCTTCTCGTGGCAGGTTTTGTGTACCTGCTCACATTTCAACTCTGTCGAATTCACTTCTGGCGAGATCCTCACTCCGCTTTCTTCGATATCCGCAATGTTTTCGAGTGGAAGTATAGTCTGGTACGAGAACATGAAGCGAATCATTTCATTTCCTTTTACAGTGCGCCGTCGGGGGATGATCCTCGTGCTGTTTTGAACGAAGGTACACCTTTGATATGCGCGACTCTAGCTACTGTGAAGCGCAGCAGAGACGACTATTTTGCAGCGGCCGTGGGATCAATGCTAAGCAATCTCGATCATCGGGAGCGTCGTGCGCTTTATCTGTCGGTATTGTTCGCAAATACTGATCCAACCCAACATCCTAGCTGGGGCCAAAAATGGCTGGAACGGGTAGTGGATTCGGTATCGACTTATAATGTCTCCGCAGAAGAGTTTCGCTATCTCCAAAAACTAGAAGAGGAGCGTAACTTTTATGAGAAAGGAGTCTAGTACGTTTCGAGTCTGAGCCGCTATATAACATTTTATCTAACCGCAAGGCTACTAGTGACTATATCTACCTCCTTAACCAATGCCTTGAAACGGGTGCCTCGTATATATTAGTCCTTGAGGATGATGTTATTTTCGCAGATGGATGGCTGGTTAAAACCCTAAACGGCCTTTATACACTGTCACATGGCCCGACTGCTCGCAACGGATCATGGATATATCTCCGCCTCTTCTTTACCGAAACATCTCTTGCGTGGTCCATCTCAGACTTTTGGTATCGAAATATGCTATTAGCTTTTGGTTTGGTTATTGGATCTGGATATGCTCTTTTGTCAGCTGTTCGGCGATATTGGCCTTCCACTCGTGGTTTCTTAAACAATTGGACTGTCGCCGCTATATGTCTGGTGGTAGCTCCTGCTTTTACAGGATTGGTATACATGATTGGGAAATATTCACTTTTCCCACTACAAGGTGTGGTGGAAATGAATGGCTATGGATGTTGTACCCAAGGGTTAGTATTCCCTCGTGAGCAAGTCCCAGCTTTGGTGGCCCGCCTACAAGAAAAGAAAAGCGGACAAACGGACAGTTTGATTGAGGAGTATGCCATCGACAGCGGCTTGACGAGGTTGGCACTTGCGCCCCAGCAGCTTCAACATGTCGGGCTGCAATCAAGCCGCGACAACCTCGAAATCAATACCCAGAGCACCTGGGCCTTCTGGTTTGAGGAGAATGATGCCTCGGAGCTGAATATTGAGCACGAACGGCTCGTGGCTGCGAGTGATGATGATTGGCACTTGGCTTGAAATGTATTATTTGTATATCGCTTCGGGAACCCCGATTTCAGACAAGAGCCACTCTTCTGCTCTTGATAATTCTATGTCACTTGAATAAAGAGAAAGTCCAGTACAAAATCCCGGAATGTCACCAGGACGAATCGTTAATGTGCCATGAGAGCCAACTATCTTTTTGTATTCTTCACCGGATGTAAGAACATCGGAGGCAAGCAAAGGCGATGCCCGTCCTTTCCGTGTTTATTAGCAAATATCACCGGGAAAGTCAAGGGGTCAACAAAACCGCTCACCTTCTCCGAATCATCATAACCTAGCCAGGCTCGATAGATCTTTTCGGGGAATTCCGACCCAAACATGTATGACATTTTCATCAGAATATCATTGTGCCGGTTCCAGCTCCAGATACTATCCCACCCTGCGCTGATTTTACCAGGCTTGCCCGAATTAGCTCGGAGATTAAGCTCAACGGGATTTGTATCGTGCGCATGGTAAATGGGCTGAGGAACCTGAACTGCTTTCAACCCATAATAAAGAGCCCAGGACGTGGGGGACATTTCAGATGCTAACCCCAAACCTTTCTCAGTCTTGTCCGCATGCATGAGGCGGAGCAATCGGGCTGAGACACGAGACATTGCCACAACGGATGCCCGGCGCGGAGTCCGTTGCTTCTGGCGGAAATTATACACCCGGGTCCTGAAGGGCCAATCGGTGTGTCGAGGGTCAAATTGAGGCAGCCAGGTGATCACGTCGGCTTCCTCGCCCACGCCCCAGGTCCAAGAATCATCGTCCAGGTCTGAGCGTAGTGGCTCGGGTGCCTCATTCCCAACCTCGATACCTTTTGCTGGCTGTGGGCCCCAGATACTGTCAAGGTTCGTCATGCTCTGGTCTACCTGGTCGATAAAATTGTCCCAGCTCCCGTGCACAGCGGGGATGTAGAAGTAAGAGTTGCGCTCCCATAGATTCTTGCGAGGCTGTTGCTTTGCAAACTCTGCTGCCTGCTGGAGAAAGTTATAGAAATGTCCTGTATAACGTGAATCCATCTCAAACTGCCAGAAAAAGTCGTATTGCGGATTCACCCGTGAGAAAATCTGCATTGGCTGAAAGTATTGAAGTATGGCTCTGGAAAACATTAGCGTTTCGAAATTTGACTGAAGCTGATGAAACCTTACTCATGAATATCGATCTTTGGATACCAATCCTTTAGTATCTCTGAGTTGAAAAACACTGCCAGATCCTGGAGCTCCCGCGGGAGAGAGCTTTTCAGACTGTCCAAGCCCGCCTTGTCCGCTGGATGAGGCACTTCAACGTCTTTCGTATCAACCAAGATGATCACCTCGTATTCTGCGCCGGATAAGAGCGATAGCTCCATTATAATTGACCGGACATAATAGAGATCATCTTCCGTGTATTCCATGCCGAGCCATGTGCGCAGGACTACCGCCGTCCGTGGTTTGAAAAAAGCAGAGGTCTTGTTTCGATCTGTCTCTGTCTTCTCTCCGCTCCAGCGATGCTCGTCTGTTTCTTTGTCGTGCTCCTTGTGCAGAGTCCGCGTCTTTTCCCCGATTTTCGAAGGCTGATATCGGTCTGCATTGCGCTGCAAGCAGTCTTGTTGCAAAGTGGCCCAATTCACATCCTGCCACTGCACTTTTTCGCCTTCATCTGCATAGCCGTACGCCGCATACCGAGAATATCGGTCGGCGCAGACACTCCGATCAAGATTCCACGCCTCGTATGATCCAAAAATTGGCGCTGGAAAATCTAGCATGCTATCAGCGTTCGCTGAACTACAATATGCCATAGGCTTGTCGATCTCATACCTGACTGATTCCAACGAAACGCTTTCATAGCTGTTTCCGCATCTCTACGATCCAGGTCTAAACCATTTGGGCCAGCACACTGCTGGTAAGTTCCCCTCCACATGTTGTTCCATGCAGCGCTGCTATATTCAGGATATGGATCATAAGGTGTAGAGAGTGGCTCGTGCGAAGTTTCCAAAACTAGCTCACCGAGGCTATCCCCATCACCAGCAGGGCCAGATCCTAAAAAAAAGGCATTTCTTTTACTACAAGGGGATAAGCATGTTAGCGACTAGGAAATCACCATACCAAGCCATATTAGCCTAGGTGGTCAAATAATATACCTTGAAGGATGGACTGTTTGGCCGCCTCGTATTGCAGTAGCTTCTCTTGACCGAGGTACAAGCATGAAAATTGTAAATACAAGGCTAAGCGCAATCGCAAAGAGACTGCGCTTTAGAGAAGTCCTCAATAAATGTCTGCATTTCAGCACAAGGTTGTCAATGAGGCGCATTGTCGAGGGACGACCATGTGGGTTTCAAGGAGTGATTTAAACCGTGTTTGTGTTCATGATCGTTGATAGTGATGCGTTACTGGGGTGTATGTACCTAGGTACATGTAGTGAGGAAGGAAAAGGAGAATGCGCAAACACAAATAAATCATGGCTGAACCATGGCTGAACCATGGACAGATCTTATTGGCTCCTGAGATCGGGAGCCTCCAAAGTTCCAAGGTTCTTCCGCGGGCGGGTAGAAAGTTAGTCATCCGCCACGTTGTCCACGGACCGCCTTGGGGCCGTGGCCCATGGATGGATATGTCCACGGATACATACTCGATACATACGGCTGTAATTTGAAAAATGCCAGCCCTGCGGGTGCCCAACCTTAACGGCGCCTTACCCGATATAGTTCTATGTAAACAGGCATATCTCTTATAACAGAGTACAAGACACAGGAACTTGATAAGCTATGTATCTCAACAAATTTCGAAATTTCTTTACCGTAGAACATCTTGTATGTAAAAGAAGAGTGCAAAAGAGAGAACTGGGGGGTTGGCAGGGTATTGGGGACTGCACGGACCTCAACTCAAGCCTACCTAGGTACATAAGTACGGAGTAAGTACTACGTACTCTGTTTTCGCATGACTACTCCTTAGGTACTAGTGTGACTCTACCTAGGTAAAGTACGGAGCAGTACGGAGTAGTAATCGCGTTTAACAGACCTGGCCCAGGTGGAACACTGTCTCTCTCTTAACACAGAGTACGGAGTACATATGTACTCTGTTTGGACAGTTGGGAAGGATGTTCGTGCGGATCGTCTGTAATTAATGATTCTAAACTCACAAATTTGACCCCTTTCCTTGCTAATTAATATAACCTCCCGAGGTCGCTTATTTTTTTTTTTTTTTTCCCCAATGAGATCGTACTATTATCTAAATGGGCTCGCTTATATTGAGACCAATTTAATTTTACCGGTTGAGGGAAGGTTCTACTCTGTACGGATCACTAGTGGTAAGTTGCCTTCGTGGAAATATTTTTCAATTGTAGATTTCGTTGAGGCTACCCAACAACTGGCTACTGAGGGAGAATCAATAAGAGAAATTTGCTCTATTGGATTATAAAGGAAAGGCCTTTTATAAGGCCACAATCTAGCAAATAGTCAAACAAGCAAACGCTTGATCAATCTAAGTGAAATTTCACCAGCGTTCATTCACCGCGTTTAAAGAGATTCAACCCCACTTTATACTTTATGAGAACAGAAACCGGACGTTGTCCAAGAAGTCAATCAAAACAATAATATACACAATGATGAACCTAAGAGCCCACTCGCTCCTTCACGGCATCATGTTCTGCACGCAAAGCTTCTGCATTGTTCATCTCAAACTCAAAATTCCAAAGCTTCTCTACAACTGTCAAATCCGCCTTAGACTTGATCTTGACATGTGAGGAAATATCGTCAGCACCTTTAGAGCTCTTCCGCCCAACATGCTGTACAAGGCTTGGCGTCACTGCCCAGCGAATCTCATTTCTCGCATTTGCATATTCCTCAGTGAGCATATCAACGTATCCAATACGCTTAGATGTATATAGCCCAACAAGCTCCGGTATCCGTGACTTGGGGAAGACAAAGGCCTGTGAACAACACCCAAATTTGGGCATTTGGTGTACGCCGTTCGGTCGAGGGAGCATCGTCACTCGGCCCATGGCAAAAAAGAGCCCAATCAATAATGGTGTGAATATACCACTCAAAAGAATTATCGTCATATTCGGTAAGAGGGGGCGGGCATGGGCGTTGAATCTTCGGAAGACCAGGAGAACGCAGACCACGAGGCAAACGACAAGAATGGAATAGAGAAGGTAGGTAAGCCATTCTTCAGCGTTCCAGCCAAAATATTCTTCGGTGTAAAAAAGACGCAGGTACAGCCCTAGGTAAGGAAAAATCTACTATTAGTAAAGGCGAAAGGTACCTAGGTAATTCCAGGCAAAACTCACAATTTGCCGCTCCCATTTCTCGGGTCTGTTCCTCGGCAGAAGACAAAGCAGTTTGGGTGCGGTGATACCATCCATCTAAAGCAACGAGATCATCTTCAAGCATAATAACGTATGGCGTGTCAATCTTTGCACACGCCTTCAAGAGATACGTGTAGTCAAAAAGAGCCTTCTCACGCCCCGCTATTTTAGCCTCATCTGTTTCTAGGGAGCGTATATGACCAACGTCAACTTCGGAGGCATTGTATAGCAACACCTGGTCCGCTAGCTTGTATAACCACGGCTCTGCATAAGCGGGGTGCTGCGACGGATCCGTGTGCGCGATGAATAGAATCAAGTGGATGTCTGCTCTTTCCTCCTCGCTCAGGCCCTCGAGGAATGTGCCTACAGTAGCTTGGAAATATCTGGCACCCTTTCGTGCAATGGTGGCAATCCCCAAGCAAAATTTAGGCTGCCGTGGACCTCTTGGTGTCTGCGGCTCTGTGGCATTGTTCGCTGTATCGATGAAAGAAGATGCTTGCTCAAGCCTGATTGCGGAATAGATAGGATTATAAGCTTTCGTGGGATCGAAAAATATTGAGGTTGGATCGCGGGAAGACTGTCTGCGCGCGACCACAATAAGTAAAACATAGAAGAAAAGAAAGAAAAGAAAAGTCCGAAGCGTCTGGACCGAGGTAAGTGCTGAAAGTCCCGAAGTGGGAACTAGCCGGTTCAAAAGCATCCTGAGAGACGAGAATAAGAGCAAGATTCAGATTCGGCAGAAGATGTTTCCTACCTACATAACCTCCAGGGCTATTAAAAAAATTTTTAATAAACATAGTGTGGTAAGATTCCCTTGGACAGAAAAGCCCGCAAATTGATAGATTCCACTACCTGGCCCCAATGTCCGTATACGTACTCCGCACACGGTCCAAATACACGGGTTGGCCCGCAGGGTTCAAGTTCTGTATAAATCTCTAGAATTTATATCAAAACTTCTTCAACTTGTATTTCTTAACATTACATAGATAGGTAACTGTATTTTCAGAACATACAGTATGTAAATCATACTTTATATTAGATTGTGAGCTTCCAAGGTTGGCTCTTCGCAATTATAAATACACTCGCGGAGTACTTGCATCATTACTACCCTAGCCCACTATTCCTTAACAGAACAAAAGTCCATAGATCTCAACAAACTTCGGTCCTCGGCGTATCGGAAAGATTACGGAGAAAAAGGAGGGAAAAACAGGGGGGCCAAGCGATATGCAGGGATCAATACGGAGTACAAGCAATTCTGATCTAAACCCTTGCCCCACCCATCACCTGGTGGGGTGTTGGATGTACACTTGTACAATAAGACGTGGTAATAAACGAGACACGGTGAAACTAAAATCCACTCGATATAAATATATAGTTTATATGGAACACACACTTTGTACTCGGTCTGGGATAGTTTTCCGGATGAACTGAATCCTTCCAGGACTACGGACTATGGATCTCATATCATGTGGACCATAGCATCAAAACGCCAACCCTTTTCTCCCGGCAGATTCCTCGCTACTCACTATTATGCCCATCCTGCCTGTTAAGGAATATCACATTTGGGCATATCATGGCGTGTTGTGACTAGGATAAGTACTGTTTGCATTTAATCACTTCAGGTAAGTTGTTATTTGGACACATCCAGGGCTGCCATGTAGGATTGACATAGATGTACAGTGAGTACTCCGTATTGAATTGCTGATTTGTATTAAACAGGTGTTTCTTTTAATTCAGCATGATAATAATGAGATTTTTCTGTGACTACGAACTCCCTTAATTGGCCCTCTCCCGTACTCCATATATATTTGTAATAGCGAAGTTGAGTTCGCCAATTTTGAGCAATTAGCATGCTTTCATGACCGATACGCGCCTCTTAGAAGCTCAGTCCTCCGGTCAAAACGCCGCTCTCCGAGAGTAGCGGCGGGCCTATCCCTTCCTCCTAGGGTAAAACCAGTCAATTATGAAGATTCCACAAGGAAATATGAGCCAATTTTTATAGATAAGCCGTAAGGTCAACAATAATACTTGTTCAAGAGCATATATCTGCATGCAAATCATAGAGATCTATCTACAGCATGAAATATGGGGGTCTTGGTTTTACAAATACCAGGGTTTAACGCACATTTTCCCGTGTCCCAATTGTTTCAGTCAAAAGTAGGTTCCACTTTACGGAGTATGTACGAAATAGCCAACATTAGCTCAATACTGGGACTTTATGAGGCTTGGTAGTATGGCCCCGGAGAACCCCTCTTACAAGCACGAGCTTCCATAAACGACTGCGGAGACTCAACCTTCATCAACCAAAGCACTGGTGGTTCTCCCCTCGTGGCTGACTGCCAGCATCTTGCCAGAAACATTGCTGGCGGCGGCACCTGGAAAGTCACTTTCACCGACAGCCAGCATCAGCTGGCTCAGTATGGCACCTGCGCTTTTGGTATTGAAGGCGACAATCCCATGAATACCGCCTATGTTGGTAATCAGGATATTATCGACGTCATCAATACTTCCATTGCCAAGTTCCAGTGGGAAGGCAAAATTGGTACGAAGGGTACGATGGCTTGTCAGAGCCAGAAGGGGATTATGGGTACTCCCCTCATGACTTGGGGCACTATCACAACTGAGCCCCAGTTATAACCATTCGTCTGAAGATGGGACAATAGGTTAGTTTATCTTAGCATTCATTGCATTATGTTTATACAGAAGTGGATGCTAAAATTATCTTTTAGGGGTTTTATAGTTTGCCTTTCAGGCGACGCCATGCTCGCTGTGTAATTACTTCCTGGATCTGTCTGTACTGGACTGGCTAATTTGTTTCCATCATTTGTCTATACCAACCTGTATCTTATCCATAGATTGTCGAAACGTGGTTATTATATAGGAGATCAGGTCGTGTCCAAAGATACCCACCAAGTCTTGTGAGAATCGACTCCCAGGTCAGACTCACATCAACCCTGCCAAATGGCTTCTTTGTGCCCCCATAGGTTGGTCACCTGCAAAGCCACAGGATATAACATTGAACATCCGGACACAAGGTGGAGACCTTTGAAATTAGGTAAATACATTTCGTTTCTGGGGGGGGTTTGTTCAAAGATTGGGAATGTAACCTGCGATTTAGCGAGGTCTAGGTTCAGATTTGTGACCATGGTGGGTTCACCCGGGGACGGGTCCACGGGTCTATATAAAAGCTTATGTAATCTCGTGTGGTTGTCCGCGTCGTCTTCTTCGACCGAATCTTACACAGCCAACAGCGCGCCATGAGCTCAATGAGACTAGACAAACTGATATTTACAGGTTGACTCTATACATAAACTTATTTGACACCTGTCAAAAGGCCAAGCAGCTCCAGCGCAGCCATGACGTCGCTCTCATTGTCGCTAGGCCCGCCAGCCTTAGTCCGGCTCCACGACGCCTTAATATGCCTGTCCAAATTCAGCGAAACAGTCGCCATCGAAGCAGAGCCTGACCTCGTAAGTTATCTTACATTTGGGGTGATCAGTCCAGTCCAAGTTCTCGAAGCCAGCATGAAATATTCTGGCTAACTGTGCCCCAGCTCCGCCTCAGCGCCCTCAATTCCACCAAGACGGGGTTTGCCTCCTTCGCGTTCGAAAGGGGGAATTCTTTGAGGCATATTCTTTCAACTCCAGCAACGGCAGGAGTGGCAGTGTTTTGCTGGAACGGTTTTTCTGCCAGATCTATAACAAAGTGAGTGTGTAGACATTTTCCCCCGCTTGAATTTGTGTCCTATAGCAGGTTTACAGTGATTATCTTCCTTGATTTATGCTGATATCGAATCCAGGCACTTCTCTCCATATTCCGCGGGAGAATTGACAGGAACAAGGACACAGCCGTGGAACGCTGTGACATGGAATTGCATGAAGATCTGCAGCAAGCTGAGTGTAGACTAACAGTGAAGATGATTTGTGGACTAGGTAAGATACCCTTGCATCGAACTGTCTTTACTGGCTTAGACTGCATATATCTGAACTATATCTAGGCGTGATCAAATCATACAAGTTGACCTACGAACCAGCGGTTGTGCAGCATGCCGTCTTCGATAAGTCCAAAGCTACCAGCATGTGGACTGCTGATCCACGGTTCCTCAAACAGCTCATTGAGCACTTTAGCTTATCTGCCGAGCAGCTGGACATGTACTCTGATTCCGGCAGAGCGGTGTTCACAAGCTTCACAACAAAAATCACCGATGGCAAGGGTATGTCAAGTTCTCCATCGAGTCTCCAGGTCTGGTTAACTGACACTCAAACAGAAGTACTAAAACACCCAGTTCACACGTCCGTGGCAGCAGACAAGCGCGACTTCCAAGAGTACTTAGTCGAAGAGAACATGCACGTCGCGATCAACCTGAAAGACTTCAAAGCCGTAGTTGCGCATGCCGAAACGGCAACCGCCACCGTAACAGCACGGTACACCCGACCCTGCAAGCCTCTGCAACTGGAGTACCGATTCGAAGGCGCCAGCGCAGAATTCACAGTCATGACCCGCGGCCAGGCAGATAGTGAAGACGTCCCCACGTCAACACGCGGGACAATCCCACGGCAAACGCCCGCGCCTGTCTCAATCTCAGCGATCAGGCAGCGCGATACTCGCCCATCGGTGACACCAAGTACTCAGATGCCCCCGCCGCCACCGAGAAGCAGATCGATCCGTCCTCTTAATGGGTCATCTACGCAGGAGAATCTGAGCCAGAAACTTAGCGCAGATCGACCGGTGGCGTCTGGTCTTTCGATGGAATTCGATAGCCTTTTCGTGCCTGCTGATGACGACCGGCAATGGGATGAGATGAATGAAGAAGAGGAACCACAGGATATTCTTGGGTGGGATGCGTCGGGAACGCAGGTATGTGGCTTTTCTTTTTCGCTTCTGGTGGTTATATATGGGTGGCTAACCAAACGCACAGGACGCATTCGGGGCATCTATTCGCGATGCGGAGCCTTCCTTCTCGAAACACAATGGTTCTCATGCCGAAGAGGCAGACGATGAGATGGGTCTTCCGCCGACACAGCGTTTGTCTCAAGTATGTATATTCCGGTTCTTGCGAGACTTTCATACATGTGTGCTGATAGTTGATAGGTTCGCCAATACGGTCTTTTCGACTGAGCAAACACCCCCTGCCAGGAGCAGTGCAGTTGTCAGCAACTTTCGGCGCTCTCAGATCCCAAAGTCAATCATGTCACAATCATCCAGCTAGTCGCACACCCCGCTCCAACCCCGACAACCTTTCCATCCGCGCCCACAGCTTCAGGGAGCGAAACCACATTATATGTACCCGATACATTCCCTGAGAATCTGTATCAGGCCCACAGTTTCCATGCTCGCCCCATCCAAACGCCGCCACTCGGCCATCTTGCAGAAGAGCAAGGGCATGTTCACTGCCAACAGCGAGTTTAGCAGGAGTCGGAAGATCCGGCGGTGGAAGTTGGCCTCGATCATTGCGTCCCCAGGCAATAATGGAGCCACCGACAAAATCAGAATCAGGGTCTGTCTGTGCATCTGATCGAGATCCGGTGCTTAACGCTTCATTCGATATCGACGGTTCCACCCGTCCCAGCCCAGGCGCAGCATGTACATAGACCCCATGCCAACTAGCCGCAATACCAGTACAGCCATAAGGAATAGTACCTCTGCACCCTCCACATTCCTCTCGCCCATCATTCTGTAAATGATCTCCATATCCACCTAGATCTCCATCATCCCCCGCGCGCAAAGATAAACTCTCCGGGATATTCAATACCCCACCGATTCCCCTATCCCCGAGAACAACAAACCGCCCCTGTCCCGAGACAACCGTAAACTCCCTGCCGCAAGCAACAGCCTCCGCAAAGAAAGACACACGAATTCGAACAGGAGAATAAGCAATCTTAGCATCTCGATTCTCCCTCCCGAGCTGACCCTTCCGCGCCGCGCCCCAGCCATAGACATGTCCATTCGAAAGCACAGCAGCCGAATGAGCCATTCCGCTCGCAAGCGCTGTGATTCTCAAATCCGTTGGCGGGAAGGAGGGGATACATGTCCCCGGGACGGGGGCAGTGGTATTTTGACCTAGACCCAGTTCACCTTTAGGCGAGGATCCGAAGACAAAGACACGATCTTCCGTGTCGGGAGTGTCTCCATGGTCGACATTATTGCTGCTTCGTGGCACGGAAGCTACAGCAATCGTGCCCTCCCACGTGGCGGAGACGTGTTTGAACTTTGATACCTCTGTATCGGATGCTGCGTCTGAGATGATCATTCGACGAAAGCGCAGGATGTTTCTGTTGTTGTCGGACTCTTGCTCTTTTGGGGGTTTGGTTGCCCTGTGCGGCCCGCACCGTCCGTCTGCATTGCAGCCGGCGGCGTAGATGGAGCCGCTGGTTGTTAGGAGGAGGGTGTGGTTTCCACCTGCTGCGATTGTGGTGGTTCCAGATTCATCTGCCAGCCTGGTGTTTTGAATGGTGGTCATTTGGGGTCCTTGTGATGTCTCTGTCTGTTCGAAGAGACATTGTGTTGGTGTGGGGACGTCTTCCTCGTGGCCAATGCCTAGTTGGCCTGATCCGTTTGAGCCGAAGGCGAAGAGTCTCATGATTCTTATTTTTTTCTTGGGATTCTATGTTTGAGGAATCATCGGATTTGACGAAGTGTGCGATTCATATCCATTATTCCATCGATGCCCGCGTGCCCAGAAAGTATTGTGTTAGTCAGCATTTCTGCCTCAGGCTAGCCGCAAAATCTATATGTAGTCTCTTCTACGAGCCGCAAATTGGATGAATGGTCTTCAAGAATAACATTTGTAACAATATGTGGTATCAATATATCAATATGCATGGATCGAGGGGCCCGCTTCATGCGTCAAGCAAAAAGCTGATTCATATAGCGAGCATGAAGATTTTCAAGAAGCGACTTGGTGTATATGCAAAATTGGCTTTTTAAAAGCGAAAAAAAAGGGGAATTATTCATAGCCAGGCTAGCTTTAAAAAAATTGTTTCATGGTCTCATCACAGGCAATAACCTGAGGACCGAGCAAACCAACCGCTTACTGCTTCTCATTGCTGTAAGCATCCTCAGACTCGCTCTCTGCAGGGGAGGCAAGGTGAAAGTATCCTGCTTGGAAGACACATTCTTCTCCATGCCCTTGAACATAGGGCTAGTGCGGTGGAAGTATGTGTGCACGTGGCCCTCGAGAAGTGAGTCATCGGTGTCAACGGCATCGGCAGAATCCTTTTCAGCGGCCTTGGCAGCCATAGCGGTCTCCCACTCGACGCGGTACTCCTCGACCTTCTGTTGGTAGTCGAGTTCGGCATCGTAGTAACGGGACTTGCGCAGGACGTAGCGCTCATACCATGACAGGTGCTTGGGGTGCACGGCAGGACCGTGGTAGTCTTGCTCGCGACCCTGGCGGAGGTATTGCCATCGGCGCTCTTGCTCCTTCAGGTCAAGGCCAGTGGTGTCGGGAAGGAAGAAGGCGGTGATCACAGCACCAGCCAGGCCAAACCAAGGCACAACATAGAACTTGGTCTGGGTATCGATGTAGTTGTACAGGACGGCGGCCAGAAGCGCACCAGCCTTACCCCAGGCAGCGGACATACCGTGAGCGGAGGCACGAATGGGTGTGGGGAAAACCTCGGCAGCAACCAGGAAGGAGACCGAATTGGGACCGAACTGGTTGAAGAAAGAGCTCAGGAAGTACATAGTCTGGAAGGACTTGATGTTCTCAGGGCGGCGGTAGTATTCGAAGTTGAAAGCAGGGACGATGAAGAGAATGAAGCAGAGCATGAAACCAATGATCTGCATCCATTTGCGACCGTATAGCTTGTTGTCGATCAAGAAAGAGGCCATATAGTATCCGCACAGAGAAACACCGACATTGACCAAGTTCCACAACCACGTGGGCATGACAGAGTGGGATTCGGGACTGATCACCTTGATGAACTCGCTTTGGAAGAGCTTGTTGCCGTAGAAGAAGACATCGTTGGCGAACCAACCGCCAGCAGTTGCGAACATGCGGAATCCGAAGTACTTGAAGGTCAGCTTCAGAGACTGGGCATCGTAACCAGTGACGGAGGCCTTCTTCTTGGCAACGGCAAGTTGCTTGCTAGCAGCCTTCATGTGGTAGGCACGGTAGTACACAAGCCACAAAGTACCGACGGCGGGAATCGCAAAGGAAACTCGGTAGGTCCACTGAACAGAGACGGTGGAGTAAGGGTTGTTACCACTGCCGTGGTGGAAGCAGAGAAGGAGAATGATAAGCAGAACCTGGTTGAAGAACTGACCCCAACCCTGCATCAGGAAGGCACTGGTGACCTTGCGGCCACGGTGCAGACGATCTTCTTTGGTGGAGATCTTTCCAGAGCCGACGGCATTTTCCATACCACTGGTGGCGGTCATGGGGTACTCACCACCAACACCGATACCGTAGATGAAGAGACACCAAGCATAACAGATGATCCAGCCATTTTGGGTCACACCCCAGGCGGCAGTCAACATGACAAGACCGAGAAGCATGATAACGGCGTCCTGAATCAAACCCCATCGACGGCCAAGCCTAGTCACTCGTTAGTATAGTCCTAGCTCTATTCCCACGGGTGGGACGATTGCAGCTTACCAGTCACCCAAGATTCCAACCAGTATCTGACCCACGATGATACCGATGATCTCGAGGTAGTCGATGGCGTATATCCACTGCTGACTGCAGGTTGTGGCGTGCTTCCAGCAATCGGGGAAGGCTGCTTGGAAGAGAGGCTTGATGTTGCCGATAGAGAAGAGCACGTAACCCTCCAGACCAAGACCAGCACCAGGGAGGACCATGTTGCGGAAGTAGTAAGAGACGGGCGAGAGAGGGTCCTCCTTCATCATCTTCCAGATATCACTCAGCTCTCTCCTTGCCTCCATGTTGTTGTAGGAGGTAACGAATGTGATCTTCTTCCACAGCGGGAGATCAGCCCAGTAGGTACCTTCGGGGGTGTAGCTGTCATCGGGGCGAATGAGGGAATCGAAGGCACCCTTCTCGTTCATATCCATATCCTCTAGCGGGTTATGGTCTCCCGACATGTCGGGCCCATGGGGGGCACGTGGACCGAAGTCGGTCATGGTGGGAGTGTTCACTGAAAGGTGTCGCGTGAGCAGGAACTTTGCCTGATAACCGGGTCAATTCCGGCGGAGAGGAGAGTCAAAGTGACCACAATAGTTGGGGAAGGTGAGACTTCAACCCAAGGAAGTGGCGGTTGACTTTCTTAAGTATGGGAAAAGGTAGAAGGTGGGAAGAAGAAGAAGGCAGAAGCGAGCAGTGAGGGAACCGGAGCGTGGAAGAACATGCAACGGCACAAGTAAGCGTCTCCACTTCAAACTCAGAAAAAATCGACCAAAAAAAAAAAAGCTTGGAAGGTCGGAAGGCAAGAACCACTCTATCTTGGGGTCAGGGCCCTCTTTCGGTGTGGACCTGGGTCTGCGATTGCTAGTTTTGGTTCCGGAAGCAGATTTTCTACTTTTAGTGGATAGAAGTGGGTCTGGCGGATCTTCGATGGGGTTACCGGGAACCAATCAAGCGTGCACGTGGGGGCAGAATTCCAATTCAGGTGGACACCGCCTTCGGTTCGAGGCAGATCTTCCCAACTTTCGCGGGGCGATAAATTCTGTTCCCAGTTTCAGTTCGATGTTTGACAATAATTACTCCTATACGGAGTACGGAGTATGTACGGAGTATTTACAATATAACATTTGTCGATTAATTATGAAGCATCTATGTTGTATAATGTACAAGATTTATAAATAGGCAGAAATGTCAATTCTGCAAAACCACATGCCAAGGCAATGCCAATGCTATGCCAATGGGATGCCAATGGGACGCCACGGGTAAAGTGGCAACCCGTAACCAACAAACAACACACCTAGTCTCGGAGCCCGGAGGTCATCTCGGATCCAAGGGGAATATCGTAATATCATTTACGCTTTGACTGAGGCAATTGTTCAATATCTAAAGCAATCTCGCTCCCAAAATCACTTCCAATACCGAAACGGCCCGCATCTGGGCCATTCAATATTGACGTAGTGGCTGAGCCAGTTCCACGCTAATCGTTAACCCCGGCATCCTGTATGCATAATCTTTGACCAATCAGCATGCAGCATTTGACCATGTGCAGCTCCATCCTCCGCACCTTCGCTCGAAATCTAAACCTTCCTCCAACACGTGTTATCACGTTGCGTGTCAACTGCTGTCCTAAATCCCGATCTATCCGGTGAATCTATGAGATGACATGGACTAGAGTATCATTGACACGAGTTGCCCGGCGAAATCTGTTTCGAATGAAACTAAAATTGTGTACTATCGACCATCTTGGGCCAGAAACGCGTCTGAAATCGAAGCATGCGAGCATCTCTGCGTCCAAACCTTCCAGAATCTTGGCTAAAGCTTGCTTCGGCATCTCACATCATCCCAAGCAATTCCAAGAAAATCCAAGCAATTCCAAGCCCGTCAAGCAATAATAGGGTTCCCGACGGGCGTCGCCAAGTGAGCTTCTACAATGCTTGGTCTTCTAGGGCTGGATTTGGTGATGGCAAGCACGTGCTCACGTTTCGCGTGGTCAGTTGTCAAAATCAAGATTCCAACGTTGGAATGCACGCGTGGTTTGATATGTCTCGGCCAACCCCCCCTACTTTAGGATACTCGGGAATGCGTCTGAGAAACCTTTGTACCCACCAAACCTGCGCCTTGCGTATGATATGCGCCCTGCAGACCGATTTTGCTTAATTTCCCCCTTTTCCGTTTCAGCTCCCAGGGGCTGCGCTACATGCTATACTTTGCGTGGATACCTGGATGATCTCGGGCTATACTAGCCCAACATCTCTCTGGTGCTGGCCAATGAAGGCAGGTGACTTTCTTTGCTTATTTTGCCTTGCTCATTGGCTGCTCCGTCAGGAATTCCGCCCTTGCAGGCTACATACATTAGCTGACTTCTAGAAGAGCGAACCCTTTGGAAGATTGCTCTGGTATTATAGCTGCTGTGTACTCCGTACTACGTACGTGTTGCCCGCCACGAGCTTGTCTACAAATTCTGTGGGTTCATAGGGCGTGGTCTCATGATGGGTACGGATATGGAGTACACAGCACTACATCGCGGTTAGTAGTACATCACAGATACCAGCCGACTAAATAACCAAGGTACGTATATAGTGTTCGGTATCCCCGGACCTCATATATCCAGTCAAACGAGCCCGTGTACATTGGAAATAATCAACAAATCAGTGTTGTGGCGTGTCCAGACGCGGGACATGACACCCTACAGCCCTATATCCGGATCTATTGGAAGGATTATACCCCGTACCTAGATAGCTTTTAGCCTTTATTGCATCAGCACAGAGCGCACACTTATCTGCAAGTGCTGTTGCTGGTAAGTTCCATTGGTGTCTCTTCCTTGCACATTCATTCACGTGGTTGTGTTACCGTCCCCTGTAGGGCACTGTAAAAGCGATATACGTAGATAGTTTTACGAAAGTGGCGTCTAGCGATATTATCGACACAGTCAGACGAGTGAGATATTAACCTTTGGTTCATCATACTGTGCCATTATCAATTTCGGTCTGACCTACGTCGCATTGCAAGCTCTTTTCGTGTAATCTCCTGAGGTCGGTCTACAATTTGCTTATGACGTTGTTTTGCCACGGACTAATTCACCCATGAACAGGTGGTAGGAAAAACAAAATGCATAATCATGCGATGTTTCAGCTCTGTAGAGTTCAACTCAACATCGGAGATGACGACCTGTACAACCGTCTGTGACTAATGCACCTCTAACCTTAATGTCATCTCCGGTATCCTAGATAGGTTTGCCTAAGGCCAATGTACGAAGTTCCCAAGCCCAGCAAGATCTTCACTAACCGTCAACGAACACTGAGAACCTAGTGGATTTCACAAAGGATACGGCTCCCAGCTTAGCGAGCTGAAGGTAAGGGATATGTCTAGTGACGTGGAGAGGGCGCGTCGAAGTGCATGAATGCAAAGTGAGATAGACTGAATGATTGGCAAATCGAACACTCAAACCCTCACGCATTATGACTTGTTCAAAGATTCTGTACACCAGCAGGGAACTTGTCTGTATAATGCCCGATGTCGATCCCGACAGGCAACAATATATCAGCCTCCAGAGTTACATGCATGCCCCTACCTACAGCTGATCCGTTCTGCCGATCTAGCGATCAGACGTCTATGCCAAATGATCTACGAAGTACCGTTTATCTGGTTTCTAATAATACAAGTTGCACAGGCGTCGGGTTGGATTTCTAGGGCGAAGCAATTCCTTCTGCCTGATCGATGCTAGATAGTTGCAGGAACGAAGGGACACTTTTGGATCGACGCTAATGGGATTCCTTGCCCATCCGCCTTGGAAATCTGTTTGGAATATATATAGATTTCTTGTCGCCAGATACACCAAAACCCGAATATGGCAATATCTATTGTATGCCTTTACCCATTGGCGAATGCCTATATAGTTTGTCATAGACATGTACAGAAGCAATATAATTAAAGATAACCGTGGCAAGCCCACCAACGACTTGGCCAGTGTTGGTGGGGACCGGATAACAAATTGTAGGGTTTTAGGTATCTTTTGTATAGCAATTCCATACAAAAGGTACATAGACCCAACATAGTCATAATGTCAGTTTTCTTAAGTTAGGGAGAATGTAAGAAGATATACGTAGTGTAAATGGAGGTTCAATTGCTCAATTGCCTATTTAGTATCGACTTTGTGTAAGAATTAACCAGTTGAAGTAAGAAAATGGCTAGACTTTGATATAGATGTGGTGCTTTTCAGGTACTCTTCACACTTCTATATAACGTATTCGAAATCAGACTTAGCAGGCAAACAATTGACCGAGACTTGCCTTAGATCTTTCGTTCTTCTCTTCTTCATTAAGCTAGTTTGAGAGTTAAGAAAAATCGATGTTATGCTTTATGTATGCTGTGCCTGTGTATCTTTTGTATGGCAACTCCATACAAAAGATACCTAGTCCTAACAATATGCTATCTGGTAAAAATTTGCTATCCAGCGATGCCCATCAACTAGGTAGGCGTTGGCGGATGTGCCACACTTGGTGGAGATGAGATTTATGGTCTTAATCCACTCTAATTTCACAACTGCAATAGTCCAAGGACGTACAGAGGGAAATAGCGACATCTTGGAGAGCGGGCATTTGATTGGTTCAGCATATTGACCAATTCACCGCCTTGCTCTCCGCCTCTTTCCTAACACTTTTCGTTTTCTTCCTTCATACTATTCAAGTGATCTATTTGACCTCTAATATTAGGGAAATGTTGTATTGAGAAAGTATCATTTCATAGGGCCTTTTAGATGCCTTGCCCCTTCCTAATGTTATAGCTATAAGGACCATGTATTGATTAGAAACGGATAGCTGTAAACCGTAGAATAACGGTGAAAAGCATGGTCCCTACAAAACTGAATTACAATAACATGCGATCATTTGATCTATCTATGATACTTGATCTAGTTATGGATGATGTTAAACTCGATAATATTCTGCCAAGTTGAACCCCCAACCGAGCATACTGCTCAACCAATCAAATACCAGTTGTCCAATGTGCCGCTATCCTCCCCCGTACAGGAATATGGATAGGTCGTCTCGCTGTGATGGAGTAGTGTTTCCTTGTTGTTTTTGGGTATTTGTCATGATAATTACATATCTATTAGGAGAGCAAGCCAAATGGTATATTACATCTTCCATCAGATGACAGAGGTAAGAATGAATCTGTTGCGCCGAAGAATCTAAGCTGGGAGAATTTGAGATTGAGGCACAACGAACTTTCTAGAGACATTGAACCAATGCCCGGAAAGGTCCACGGGTGTCAATCTGGGAAGTGGCTAAGGTCATAAGTACTAAAATCCCCTGCCACTGACGTCAAATTTCTTAGGTTATAATATATATAACCTGGCACACCCCTTCCTCTCTGAGATCGCAATCTTCCCAAACCAGCCCATAGATAAAATTCATATCCACTTCATATCTTAACTAATTCATCGGTGCCATATCCCACAAATAAGACGCAAGTACGATGTCGACTGGCAGGGTCCTTCGTGGCTGGTAACACATTCCTGAAGTGCGCAGGACCCCTTCCCCAGCCATCATACCTGACCTACTCCAGACTTTACATTTCCAATAGCTATAGGCCTTTTATCCCATACAAGATCATGTGTGCTGCATACATTCCACGGAAGTCCAGTCTCGATATGTATGCAGAACCTTGGAATAAATGTGTTCCCCTTTCTAACAGCCCACGTCTGGAATGAAGCCATCGTGAGAAAAGATCCCGATCCCGATCGTCCCGACTTCCAGGTATGGTATGTATATAAGGATCGTGAAGAGGGCGAGAATCGCAGATTCGGGTATCTTCTCCTTGAATATTGAGCTTCCATATCATTATCTGCGGTCATTCCCAGATACTACTGAATCCAACTACATCTTGCAGAAGACTAGAACTAGACCAACGCATACCATTCCACCATGTTGGACTTCAAGAGCCTATTTCCGACGGTGACAGCGTTCATTGCATTTATACTTACCCTCCTATGTCTCTTCGCGGGGACGCAGAGAAACTTCCTCGAAGACGTGGATCTCTTGACGGTAAGTCCGACCGTCTCCAACTACTCTATAAGTGGCGGATGGTTGCATGAGACTGACTTGGCGCGGCCTATCATCTAGCTCTATACACCCGCAGGCACCGCAGGAACCGCCAGCGGTGGAGCCCATGATTTCTATTCCATCCACGTCATGTCCTACTGCCAGGGAACGGTGGTAACGCTCGACCCCGGCACAGAAGTCACGCGCAACGTAACTGAATGCTCGAACCGCACGATTCTATCCTCATTTGACCCGACACAAGCCTGGCCGAAGGAGATCACCTCTAGCCAGGACCTGGGATGGGCACGCGTAATCAGCGATGACTTCCACGCCTTCAGAATGACAAGCCAGGTCATGGCCGTGATGTACTGTATCGGAGTTGGCGCGATGGGTGCTGCGATCCTCGTACGAGTATGGACTACTCTCTCCCCGCGCGCAGGCCAGGGCCTATTTGAATTTTCGTTTTTCATGGTGAGTTACATACCACGATCTGGTGATGGAGTTACCCCCCTACATAAACTCTGGTCTCTGCATATCGTCTGTGCAGACTGCATTTCCCAGTTCAGCGTGGTGCATTTCGGATCTCAGATTTCCCCAGAAGCATGACAAATGGCTGACACGGGATCATGATTTAGCTCGGATCTTTTAGCATCAGCATCGCGTCCATCATCGCAACTGTTATCGCGTTTGAATTCGTCGCTCTAATTAATGCTCACGGCAAGGGCTCGAATGTGTCGGCCCATTACGGCGAGAGATTCCTCGGGATGAGTTGGGCCGCGGTGGGGCTGGTGCTCGCCGGTAGCGTTTCTTGCTTCGTGAATGTCTTTGTTTACAAACGGGCTGCGTATGCGCCTGCGCCCGTCTCAAAGGATATAGAGGGGTAATCAGTACCCGAAAAGAAAAGGAGACAAGAAGGGAGCGGTGGTGGTAGCCAGTCGGAGAGCGCAGGTTTCAGACGGGGGGCGGACATCGGGGAAACTCGCAACGAATATAATCCCATACAATATAGTAGATAGAAGAGCCATTTATAAATCGAATGATACCATATTAAGGAATACCACCTCGAGGATACCTTAAGATTACTAGAATATAGAATAGTCAATCTAACTAGAAGTTTCAAGGGAAATTGTAAAGTTGCTAATCCGGCCACTTGCTTTTGCGGGATATCTGAGGGTTTTCGTGTTGGGCCAATGGCCGGGCCCCGTACCGCGAGAGTTAGGCTTTGCCCCCCCTTAACTTCCAGGGGCTAAGATATGTGTGTTGGGCAGTGCAAGGCAGCAATCTCCTTAGTGTGCTCCGAGCCTAGAGCGTAGAAGGCGATAGATACACTTCGAAATAAACACCTCGGCTGGATCAGACTTGGCCGCGACTAAGTGGGAAAAAAATGGGTCAAGGCTATCAACCGTTCATCCGACGTCACCACATAGTGGGTATCAGTTGGGTCTATAGAGGGTCTATCGACTATCGTGAATAGTCTCGAATATTCTTGAAATAACCACATGTTATAACTCATTATACCGCAAAACCAATTATTCAAGACATTCTCAATACATTCCGTATAATGGCTCAGACTCCGAGGACCACTGTACTCCGTTAACTCTTCCCGGTTTGTCGGCTGATTTTCTCCGAAGTCTACATTTGCCAAGGTTCTTGTCAAAGCGCGAAGTATTTGACGATTATGGGCGGGTTTTCCCGGTTCTTTTCTTTTGTTTTGCCGGTGAGTGGTTTCAGGCGTGTGATACACATGAAATGAAATCTATAAGTTACTCAGATAGGAATAGTGTATTGGGTTATGCCTCTATTGCGCGGTATATTCCAAGGGAGTATGGGTTGCACGGACATTAAAGGGGGGGGAAGGAGAAGTGTAACATCTCAATAATCTTTGTTTAGAATGTTAAAGAGAATTATAGAAATATTAAAACGGAATAATATTCGAATAATAACAATAAATAACAAATAATAACAATCGATTCATAATGTCCTCATCTTATGACTGGTTGAAAACAAGGCGGAGGCTAGTCCCGCCCAAATATGAAGTCATCGTCATAGTTCCAGGGACAGGAACATATTCCTTGTATAGTTTCCACGGTCGTTCTTTCCCATATTCCCCCTCTTTCCTTAAATAGTTGCACTTTCCCCCTTGAACTGGAAAGTGCAACTGACACTTCCTCTTTAGTTACTCTACTACTCTACTTCTACTCTCACTTTCACTTCTACTCTCTTTCTCCTTCTCCTTCTCTTTCTCCTTCTACTTCTACTTCTACTCAACCTCTACCCACTTCTACTTACCTGTACTTCTACTTCCACTTTTCATATCAACCATGGAGAAGAAAGCTGTTCACTTCGGCGGTGGAAACATCGGCCGTGGCTTCGTGGCCGAGTTCCTCCACACTGCTGGCTATGAGGTCGTCTTCGTTGATGTCATGGACAGTATCATCACTGCCCTACAAAACACCAAGTCCTACGAGGTCACTGAAGTCAGTGACGAGGGCGAGGCTACCAAGACCATCACCAACTACCGTGCCATCAACTCCAAGACCCATGAGAGCGATGTCATCAACGAAATCTCAACCGCTACCGTTGTCACCTGCGCCGTGGGCCCGAACATCCTCAAGTTCATTGCCCCTGTGATTGCCAAGGGCATCGATGCCCGCACCGCCGCCACACCGTTGGCCGTCATTGCCTGTGAGAACGCCATCGGAGCCACTGACACTCTACACCAGTTCATCAAAGACAACACCGCTCAAGACCGTCTCGGCTCTATGCCAGACCGAGCCCGCTTTGCTAACTCGGCCATCGACCGTATTGTGCCTGGCCAGGCCGCCGACAGCGGTCTCAACGTCCGTATCGAGAAGTTCTATGAATGGGCTGTGGAGTCGACGCCTTTCGGCGAATTTGGTCACCCAGATATCCCGGCTATCCACTGGGTTAGCCACCTGGAGCCCTACATTGAGCGCAAGTTGTTCACCGTCAACACCGGTCACGCCACTGCAGCCTACTATGGCTACAATGCCGGCAAGAAGACCATTGCCGAAGCTCTCCACGACTCTCGCATCCGCGGCATTGTCCGTGATGTGCTTCAAGAGACTGCCTCCCTCATCATCGACAAACATGAAATCAGCGCCGCTGAGCAGCAAGAGTATGTCGAGACCATCATCACCCGAATCTCTAACCACTACCTCGAAGACACCGTGGAGCGCGTGGGTCGCGCCCCAATGCGCAAAGTGTCCCGCAAGGAGCGTTTCATCGGCCCGGCTGCGCAGCTGGCCGAGCGTGGCGGAAAGTTCGAAGCACTGCTGGGCTCTTTGGAAATGGCTCTGCGGTTCCAGAATGTGGAAGGTGACGAGGAGAGTGTGGAGCTGGCCAAGATCCTCAAGGAGAACGCGCCTGCCGATGCTGCTGTCCGATTGACCGGCTTGGACCGAGACCACCCCCTCTTCCCCCATGTGGTCAAGGTCGTGGACGGCGTGCAATCTGACGCAAAGTAGGCACCTCTTTCTCACGCCAGCCTCACAACATCCTAACACCATTTTTTTCAGAGAGGCAGGGCAACCGCGCATTTGATTTCGCTTTGACTGAAATTCAACTTGCATGGAATATCGCGAATACCAGGTACACGGCGCGGGAGTAATGGGATCAGTGTTTATATGACTTTATGAATTGTAGTATGACTAGCGAATGGAGCATCGAATCTTTTTTTAATCCTTTCTCCCAATCTAAATATGTACAAAGTGATCTCACAGCTTACTATCAACCCAAACAGGCTTCCTCTTCTCCACAAAAGCCCGAAGTCCCTCCTTAATATTCTCCCCCTCGTTCAACCTCTTAACCCACGTCTCATTCAACATCGCCGTAGCCTCATCCGCCCCAATCCCCTCCCACCCCAACTTAACACCCTCACGACTAACAAGCACCGAATCAGGACTATTCCCGGCAATCTCCCCAGCAACCTTCAAAGCCTTCTCCAAAACAGCCCGACCAACCTCCTCCTCCCCAACCCCGTCACCAACAACAACAACAGAATTCACAAGCCCCCATCTCTCCGCCTCCACAGGCCCAACCATCCGCCCCGTAAGAACCATCTCCATAGCCCGCTGCTTGCCCACCGTCCGCACAAGTCGCGGCAACGCCCCAGCGAGAGCAACAACCCCGCGCTTCACCTCCGGCAACCCGAATACCGCTCGCGATGACGCAATCACTATGTCGCTGTTGATGATCATCTCCGTCCCACCGCCAAGACAGAGTCCGTTCACCGCGCAAATCACAGGCTTCTTGCCCTTTCGTCGGGCTAGTCCGCCGAATCCGCTATTTGGCATGGTGGTTTTGGTTGAGGTTGATGAGGTGCGGTTGTTCCATTCTGGTCGAGTTAGTGGGTGTAACGGATGGATCGGCTTTTGGGACCTTGGGACGTGTGTGTTTTGCACAAAGTATACGAGCCACTCTGTCGGGTCTGCGTGCTAGCTCACCTTTTAGATCAGCGCCGGCGCAAAACGCCCGTCCCTTTCCGGTTAGAATGCCCACGCGCATGCTCGGCTCTTCGTCGAGCCATTCCCATACTGCGTGGAGGTCTGCGTGGCCTTGGGAGTTTATACAGTTCAGATCGCGGGGTCGGTTTAGCGTGACGAGGAGGATGTGGGGTGCTGGGTAGGTGAGGGTCGCGTGGGCTGGGGTTGGGGGTTGGATTGTGAAGGGTGGCATTTTGATTTTTCTTGGGGGTCTGCTGGGAGATTGATTTTGAGGGAGGAGGGAGGAGAGAAGAACAAAGAATGAAGGAAATGGTATGGAGACGTAGTGATGGACGGGGAGTTGGGGTTATTTGTAGATGCGGAGAAGCTATGCCGAGGACCGAGGAGTGTGGGGGTGATTACTGCAGCACTCTTGGATGGCTTTGGGAGTTATTTTTGTCGAACTATTTTCTTTAGACTTGTAGATTATCCGTAGGTTACTGTTTATTGTACAATTGTGCGAATTACAGGTGGTATTCTACCTGTGACTTATGTTGACAAGTTCTGAGATGAACAAATCCACCCATCTCCCAAGTTCCCTATGAACGCCAAAAAAAAAACGCTCCCGAACAAAATCACAAATAGATTTGGATATCAATAAGCTAAGAAGCGATTACAGCGTGCAATGGATCTGGCGCACCTACGCCTTGTTGATCCAACCGCTGTGTACCATGAAATCATAAATGCGGCTGGTTTTGGTGCCCTCAATCTAACGGAGTTAGTAAAGGACTCGCGGCCCAATCAAGAGTCGAGTAGAAACATACCTTGCAAATTATCCGCGCATCTTTCTTCTTCAGGTTGCCGCCCTGCTTCATTGCTTCCTTCAACAGTGTCTCCTTGATGACCAGATACGGCTTCGGCATCAGACGCAGAACATTGCATACCTCTGCCTCTTCCTTGGTCAGGAGATGTAAGTCGGCAGCAGTGTCATTGTCCAGCTTCCACGACGGCATCCCGCTGAGTGGCGGCACCACATATTTCGTCTTTGCCGGCTGCGGGGGAGGCGCATCCCCATCGACAGCGAAGGCGCGATCGAAATCGTTCAATGGCTCATCGGCAGGATCCGCCGGTGCGTGCGGGTTGGCAGCTTTTTGCAGTCGCAGCGGCAGTTCAGGCGTGGTGAGCTGTGTTGCTGCCGCTGGTGTCTCTGTCAGCTGTCCCTGCTTGGGGCGGGTACTGGCGAAACGGTCAAATGATCCTTGAGGAAGCAGTCGTTGCACGCGCTGTTGCTTATCCTGCTCGTACTTCTCGCCTGCTTTCAGATCACCGATGCCCATCTGCCGCCATTCTTGAAGCTGGGAGATGGCTAGGCGGAGGTTGTGCTCGTATTCCAGGCCTTTGTTGAGGTCTTCAAAGTCCTTGCAGTTCATCATCCGTGCTAGTGGCTTTGCTTTGTTCAACAAATCTCGCTCTTCCTTCGACCGTTTCTTATCTAAGGCGGTGTTCTTTCGGTATTCGAGGAGGTTGTGCTCGAAGAGGATCTTCTTGCGCTCTGTACGCGCCGTCAAGCGGGAGTTGTAGATGTCAACCACGGTCATCTTGAGCTCAGTCTCTGCATCTGGCTCGCCGTTCTCATTGAGTCCAGCCCCGGGCTCAAAAGTCATGTGCTGCACCGCTTCTTCGGCATCGTTCAAGAACTCGGTCTCAAACTCTAATCGTCCCGGCATGTAGCCCTGCACTTCGTGACATGCCGGTACACTGGCAGTCGGCTTCTGCTTTGGTGTGGTTGGAGGTGCTGCCTTGGCTGCATCTTTGCGCTCTTCGATGCGACGTTTCTTGCGTGTTTGGAACTCCTCTTTGGAGATTGAATCCTGCAAGGCTCTATCGTCTGGATCGGCGCGGGCTGCGAGCGGGAAGTTCACACTCTTCACATAGGTGTCGTAATAGTGGTCTCGCACTTCATCCTTGCTCCGGTAGCCGCCAATGTGGTCTGCGATGTCTGCCCAGGAACCCAACCCATAGATTTCGGCGCCTTCCAGCAATAGCAATTCTTCATCGGCACCCCAATCCCCCTGGAATATGGGGACTGAGTTCTGTTCGATCACTTGGAATGGATGTGTGGCGGGTTCGTGGTTTTTGGAGTTCTTTCCGGCTGAGAAGCAGGGGACACAGAGGTCATATTCGGGGCAGGCGGGATGCGAACATGAGATGCGAACCTATGCGATGGAGTCGCGTTAGTCTCTGAGTAAAATAACAGACCTTCAAGTCGTCATGGCACAATCACACCGAGACTTACTGTTGACGTAACATCAATAGAGCACACATCGCAGTGGAACTTGGTGCCGGCCTCGGTGCCGCGCGAGGCGGTCTTCTTGCGTATCACACCCATTAGCCCTCCACCCCTATCATCCTCTGGTTTGTCGGGTACTGTATTGATAGCAACAGACTCAGAAGTCTGAAAATACTAGAGTTGCAGGTGACAAGTTGAGGTGAGGTCTTCCGGGGTAGGTGTCTCCGCACTTCGGAGCGGGGAATATTCCGAAACTTGAAAGAACAGATAAAATGATACAGCTATAAGCCAAGCTGAATGTCAAACTCTCTTCGTCTTGTGGAGCTGCTTTGGATTGTTAATGCCGTGGGGGAAGTTGATGCGTCGTTAACCCTTGTGGCGGAGCAGTGGCTGAGCTGATTAATTACTGTACCTAGATGTGACCTGTATGTTACCAGCTTGACCAATCAAACACCAAGCCTTAGGTAATCTATAATAAGACCATGTATTATAATTACAGGGGGAACTTCCCCTCTCTCATTCTCATTTGATCTTCGATCTCGACTCTTTTCTTATCCTTTAGTTGTGCTTCCATACGGATTTTCAAAAGCTATAGTGGTGGTCTTTGTCTTGACTTCTCTCCTTTTGCGTGTGTTATCTGTGTTCTTGTGTCTCCTTTATTTTGGGGGCCATTCGCATATTATTGGGTGTGATTCTTACCCTGCACACGCATTACGGTACCTTGGACTTTGATCTCTTCTTCTCGATATCTTTACAACCGCCACTATGTCCTGGAAGCTCACTAAAAGTATGTTTACTGGCAGTTGGTCTCCCTCTCTCTCCCCCTCAATACCCCCTCTCTGCACTGCAGTGAATGCCCACAGTCGCTAATGATACTTGTCTCAAGAGTTGAAGGAGACGCATCTAGCACCCTTGACCTCATCATTTGGCCGGTCGTCGTCTACTTCGACGATCAAGGGTGACTCAAATGGTGAAGAGGCCCCGACACCTGTGTCCTCCAACCCGCCCTCCGCCACCCCCTCAGTGAACGGGATCGGTATGTTATTCTTATACTACTGGAATTCCCCTCGGTAACTAATAATTCCATCGTTTGAATAGCGGCCTCCGAGTCTCTTGTCTCTCCCCTGTGGCGCCTGTGAACCCAGGAATCCTCATTGTCACTCTCCACGAAGGGCGCAATTTTTCGCTGTCACCTCACTTCCAACAGATCTTCAATTCGCATTTCCAAAATAACTCTTATGCGCCCTCTTCTCTACGCCCAAGCACCTCCTCTTCGTCACATTCAACTCAGAACCAAGCGGGTTCCTTTGTGCCATCCGGCCGGCCGCAGTCCACAAGCGGGGGCATCAATGCCGCCCCCACTATCCACGGTCGCTATTCCACCAAATACCTTCCGTATGCCCTCCTTGACTTTGAAAAGAACCAGGTTTTTGTGGATGCCGTATCGGGAACTCCAGAGTGCCCATTGTGGGCTGGAGACAACACAGCCTTCAAGTTCGATGTGTCCCGAAAGACCGAGTTGAATGTACAGTTGTATCTGCGCAACCCTGCAGCCCGGCCTGGCGCCGGACGGAGTGAGGATATCTTCTTGGGCGCATGCAAGGTCAACCCTCGCTTCGAAGAGAGCCAGCCGTATGTGGAGGATCCGAAACTCAGCAAGAAAGACAACCAGAAGGCCGCCGCAGCTCATGATGAGCAAGGGCGTCAACTGGGTCAGCAGGGTGCTGAATGGCTGGATCTCCAATTTGGAGTTGGCTCAGTCAAGATTGGTATTTCCTTTGTGGAGAACAAGCAGCGGAGTCTTAAGTTAGAAGACTTTGATTTGCTCAAGGTTGTGGGCAAGGGTAGTTTCGGCAAGGTCATGCAGGTCATGTAGGTGGTCTCAAGATCTACTTGTTTGGGTTCAAAAATGCTAACAGTCGGGGAATTATAGGAAGAAGGATACTGGTCGGATCTACGCCCTCAAGACAATTCGCAAGGCTCACATCATCTCGCGATCGGAAGTCACACACACACTTGCCGAGCGATCGGTTCTTGCACAAATCAACAACCCGTTTATTGTTCCACTGAAGTTCTCATTCCAGTCGCCTGAGAAGTTGTACTTCGTGTTGGCATTCGTGAACGGTGGAGAGTTGTTCCACCATTTGCAAAGGGAACAACGATTTGATATCAACCGAGCCCGTTTCTACACCGCAGAGTTGCTGTGCGCTCTCGAGTGCCTGCATGGGTTCAAGGTCATCTATCGTGATCTCAAGCCTGAGAACATTCTTCTCGATTACACCGGGCATATCGCTCTTTGCGATTTCGGTCTCTGCAAGCTGGACATGAAAGACGAAGACCGAACCAATAGTAAGATCTCCTCATCACTCATGATAAGCCCCATATAGCTAACCGGACCCAGCATTCTGTGGAACTCCCGAATATCTCGCCCCAGAACTTCTCCTCGGCAACGGCTACACCAAGACTGTGGATTGGTGGACTCTCGGTGTCTTGCTCTATGAGATGTTGACAGGCCTGCCTCCATTCTACGATGAGAACACCAACGAAATGTACCGCAAGATCCTGCAAGAGCCTCTGACCTTCCCCAGCAGCGACATCGTCCCACCTGCTGCGCGAGATCTTCTCAGTCGGTTGTTGGACCGTGACCCCGTGCGCCGATTGGGTGCCAACGGTGCTGCGGAGATCAAGTCTCACCACTTCTTTGCCAACATCGACTGGCGCAAGCTTCTCCAGAGGAAGTACGAACCCAGTTTCCGACCAAACGTGGTATGTATTCTTTGCTCCCGACCATGTATCTGATCAACATATGACTAACTTGGTGCAGGTGGATGCCCGTGATACTGAAAACTTCGATGTTGAATTCACTAGGGAAGCACCCCAGGACTCATATGTCGATGGGCCCGTCCTGTCGCAGACCATGCAGCAACAGTTCGCCGGATGGTCGTACAACCGACCCGTGGCTG